TGCGGTGAGTATCTCAGGACATGTGAGGGGACAGGAATGCAGGCTTCTCCATGCCCACCACGCCGCTCCCCTCCCCACCCCCATTCCTCAGAGTGAGCTGCCTCCAGAACCTTCTCTGAGGGATTCAACCCTTCCCTCTCACGTAGCGGTTGAGCCTGGAATGGACACTTTGCAGCTTCTGGTGTGTGCCCATCCTCCCACTATCTTAAATAAGTTTCGGAGGGAGATTCTTCTCGGTAGGGAATTGGGTTTGAGAAAGTGTCCCGTCTTCCTGAAAACAATGAGGTGAATTTATAACTTGCTGGGCTCCCATCAGCTGCTCAAATATGGAATTTCCCCTTTTATTTTTCTTCTCCCCAAGTACTGATGAAATTCCCTTCCATGGCCTGTATCTCTCACGGACCGTTTTTTTGTGAGTTGATGCCGGAAATGGTCCTGCTGTAGCCGAACGAAGGCGTGAGCGGGAACAGAATTTGGGAAGAGAGGAAAAGAACGGGATTTGGAAAGCTGACCTAGAAGATAACAGGCTGGGCATTCTGGGGACTTGAGAGCCTCAGATCTTTCCAGAAACTCATAGATATGTACTGCCCAATACAGAAGCCTCTAGCTATGTGGGGCTATGGAGTGTTTTTCATGTGGCTAGCTTGAGTTGAGATGTGCTGTATGTCTAAAATGCACCCTGGATTTTGAAGACTTTCTATGAAAAGAGTCTGCAAAATATCTCATTAGTAATTTTTTAACATTGAATATATGTTGAAATGGGATATATTGGGTTAAATAAAATATATTATTAGAAGTCATTTCACTTATTTCCTTTTACCTTTTTAATGGGGCTACCAGCAAACTTAAAACCACATATATGGCTCACATTTGATTTCTACTGGACAGTGTTGTCCTAGATAGACATTGGATAAAGGTCGCTGAAATGAGCTCCTAACTCCATCCAAAGTGATCAGTAAGTCTCTGTAATCCATTCAAGCCAGTTACATCTCAAGAGCAGATGAGAGAACAGACATTGGTGTCATCTTCTTGGGACACCATTGGGGTGTCAGGGAACCGCCAGTCTTGGGAATTAGACTATGGAGCAGGTCTGTGTCCAGGATGGTGACCCTCTTCTGTCCCCCAATCTGACCTATAACCCTGTGTTGCTTTGCATTGAAGCTTCTCTCCCAAGACATGAAGAATCTCATCCTGGAACTGGAGACCACGCAGCCCCTGTGCACACAAGGATCGCTTGGCTCCCCTGGGCCTCCTGGCCCCCAGGTTGGTGCATCCACCAGACCTTCTCCTGCTGTCTTCGGTTCAGAGCAGCGAAGCCCACTGGGCTGAGCCCGTTCGAGCTGCCTGTTTTGGTTTGATATGGGGCTGTTTTTCCTTCTCTGGCTCACCTCCAGCCCCAGAGCCACGTGGATAGAACGAACGCTGGTTCTTCCCTCGGTGAATTCTGTCCTCCCAGGCTTGATTTTCTCATCCACCCACTGGGGATAATAATTACCCCTGCAGTACTGGATTTGGGGTGGGGGAGGCAAATGAGATGTTGCCTAGATGAATGTGGTTGTTATTATAGTTATCATCAAACACTTGATGACAATGGGTTGCCCTTTATGTGGCCATCGACCCCACCAGGGGACCCAGAGGTGCCTGCATTCAGTGTAGGAAAGTGGAGGTAAAGAGGAACTTGTTACCTGAGCTCAACTGGCCCCAAATATGGTACCAAGCAGCCCACCCCTCCCCAGCACAGCCAAAGGGAAGAGTGAGGAAGAGGCAAAATGATAGAAAAAGGATTTTCTAGGAGGGGAAAGAGAGAACGAGGAGCAGTCAGTTCCTCGAGTTCCTTAGGTGTTATTTCATCCTCCCTAGTTGTCTCTCCTGTGGCTTCTCATCACAAGAAGACTAAGAAACAAACTCCTCACCCTGGGTTTCAAAGCCCCACGTGAGGGGACACCAGCCTGTATCTCCCGCATCATCTCATGCCACCAACCCTGCCTCTTCAATGCAGCCATGGTACATGTCTTGGGCCCTCAAGCCCACCAAGCTTTTTCCAGCCTTAGGGCCTTTACGCTGTGGCTCTGACTGTGTGGAATGTTCTTCCTTCTGATTTTTTTTTACCATGGCCAGCTCCTTTGTCACTCAGAATTCCATTTACATGCCACCTCTTTAGAAATGCCTTCCTCGGCTACCTAGTTTACAACAGCCTTCCCCATCACTTTCCAGCCAATGACCTATTTTAATTCTCTGCAAATTTTGCTCATGTTGTTATATTTTCCTTATTTATTTATTTTTTTGTTTCTAATCTCTTTGGTCTCCTCTCCATAAAATGTAAGTTCTGTGACTGGGGTTGGCAAACAGTGACCCATGGTTCCTATCCATCTCTCTCTCTTTTTCTTTTTGTAATTAAAGTTTTATTGTCTCTGGCTGCTTTCATGCTACAAGGACAGAGTTGAATAGCTGTGACAGAGTTGCTATATCAGAGGCACAGCTAAAAATATTTACTATCTGACTCTTTACAGGAAAAGTTAACTGACCCTTGGTCTTGAAAGCAGGGACGTTGTCTATCTTGTTTATATTGTGTGGCCAGTTATAGCAGTGTGTGGGGTGTAGCAGGTTCTCCGTAAATATTTGATAAATGCGATAAAGGAAACAGGACTTTGAACCCAGAATTGGCCAGAGCTGCCACAGAGGGGCTAGGTAGTTGGCAGAAAGGCAAGATGGGCACCCTGAGAAATACCTCTCGGGTGGGTTTCTATCTGCCCACCTCCCATAGTCTCCGCTGACAGCTCTCAGGGTACGGGAGAACACACAGAGCATCGGGGAAGACGGATTCTCTGCTGACCAACCGCCCTCCAGTCACACTTGCTAATCTCTACCCTCAAGCAATCCCATCTGAGTCATACAGAGGCTGTGTTGTCCAGTTCCAGGGGACTATGCAGCCACCTCTGTTCTCTTAGGACACCGCGTGAATGCTGTCCCCACCAAAATGAGATCTGTGGATCAGCAACATTAGCATCATCTGGGAGCTTGTAAGAAATGCAGAATCTCATCTCCCCCCCCACCCCCCACTCAATCAGGATCTGCATTTTAACGAGACACTCCAGTGAATCATCTACAAGTCAGCGCTAAGCACAATGGCCTGGGAAAATAGTTCTAGCCCATTTCGAGAAATGGAAAATACCGAGTCTTGGAAAAAATGAAAGACTGGAATGAGAACTCTCCCCTCTGTCCCCTCCCTAAACCAGAAGGAGAATAAACCAAGGACAGTGGTTTCCAAACTTCTGTGCACATTAGAATCCTCTGGGAACTTCAAAAACTCCTAATGCCTGCCTGTGCCCTTCACCCTGAGGTTGGGATGTAATTTATCTGGGGTGTAGCTTGATCTTCGGGATTTTTTAAAGATCCCCAGGGAATTCTAATGTTCACATAGGCTTGGGAACCACCGGCTGAAGGGGCTGTTTGTCATTCGGATAAGTCTCATAGAAATCATATTTCAAACAGACTTCGTGTTAGGCGTGTTCACCTGCACGTCTTGGGGATGAAGTAGTGGCCTGGATAGGTTTGATGGATTTCCTCTCTGCCGTACTGGGGAATTTCAAAAACAATTAGCCAACTGAGCGTTTCATAGACACATGAGCAGACAGCAGCTGCATTCTGCTGTGGGTGTGCCAAGACTTCGTGCCGTGGGTGCTAGAGTCCCTGAGCCTGAGACACCCCCACTCCTGCAGCTGGGCAGTGGGACAAAAAAAGAACTACTTACTTGCTCACATTCTCAACGTCTTAAAACAGAAGACTTTGCTGCACCTGGTACCCATGGATCCACCATGGGAATTTCCAAGTTGGCTGTTCCCACTTGCAAAGTGTAAATTTCCCCTCGTCAGGGCCCAGGGAAGCTTGGTAAAAGCAGCTGTGAACATATGAGAGGCGGTGAAGCCTCTTGTTTTCAGCAAACAGCATTTCTTTAGTTGCTCTCACCAAGCACTCTGGATGCTTCAGGCAACCTAAGAATTCCAGGGAGAAAAGTTAAAATCACAGAGAGTAGATGTGTGAGCACCGCGACTGGCACCATTGAAGACACAGCTCAAAAAAAGCTAGAAGAGGGGAAACAGAGAGGAGAAGATTGGTCTGGAGGGCACAAGGGGGGTCCTTCACGGGGCCTCTGGAGCCCTGAGTCTGCATAGAAAATGAGGCTGTGGTTGGAGCTCAGTGCCCCAAGACCCCCGCCCCCCAGTCCTGTCTCCCTCGCCACCCGTGCTGCCCTGGTTTGATGTATACTTTCTTCATTTCTTGTCTTGTTTATGTAGGGTCCTCCAGGGCTTCCTGGCAAGACAGGAGCAAAGGGAGAAAAGGTATGAGCCACTACTCACTTCTCCTTCCTAATTCCAGCCTGTTTCCTGGGGGTGCCACTGAGAACTTTCTCGTTGAGATTTCAAAGCATGTGCTAATTCTACCTTAGTGCATGAGAATGGGCTCCATGATGGTTGGGCTGCTGCTGCAGGCGTGGGGTCCCATCGGTGTATTTTGGCTTGGCCCACTGACATGGCAGTGGTGCCGTGAGTGGCCAAGGGACCAAGCCACATGAGCATGCCCAGTCATCAGCCCTACTAAGCCCTCTGCTCCCAGGACTTCTCTTCCAAAGCAGCCTCTGCTTACTTGTCTCTTCCATCCACAGGGGGAGCTTGGCCGACCAGGAAGGAAGGTATGGTCCATGCTGTTCTGTCAGCATTGCATAGGCAACTGTGCTCGGCATGCATGTGAGTGTGTGTGTACTCCTTGGAGTGTGGGAACCAGCAGTACACTTCTGTGGCCGCCAACGCCCAGGTGGTCAATGATGGCACAGCCATCTTGATGATGACAGTAGAAACCTTTCTCTGCCCACGCCTTCACTCAGGAGCTGGAGCCTCCTATCGCCAGCTTTAGGACTTCTGCCAGAGGCTGCAAGCCTGGCCAAATTTTCCCCAGCTTCAGAGCATCTCATCCTGCCACCCATCAGAGAAACTCTCCAAGGCTCCAACCAGCAGCACAAAATGACTCTCACTGTCTATTCGATTAAACTGGAATAAAGTGCCAAACAGACAGAAACAAATGGCTTTTGCTTTTTGGCCCCACTGAAATTAACGGGAGTTACTTTAGGTCACAGGGACTCTGAATGAACCAAACACATGTTATCAAGACTCTCATTAGTGTCAGGAAGAAGAAAACCAGCAGCCACTCACTGTGGTCAATGGATGCTGGCACTAAAATTGTAGGTCTTGGTGATAGAAGGAGGTGCAAAACTTTGGCCAAGAAAGATGCCTATGGTTCTAAATATAAATTAGTATCTTTCTGATTGACTGTCTTGTTCAAATACTTTTACTATCAGTAAGAGCCTCAAACAGACCTATGCAAGGCAAAGCTACAACATTTTAGGGCAGAGATGACAACCCCAGCCAAGGCACAGCAGTTGTTCAAAGTGCTGGGCTGGAGAGGATTCTGGTCTCCATGCTCAGCGAGGACCATGAGTAATTAGTGATGTGTACCATGGATGGGAAGCAAGAGTAGAAACCGGTACACATGCCAGCATTTGTGATCCCTGATTTAGGGGCTGAAACTTCCACATCTCTAGCTAGGCTAACTGAAATTAGCCAATGGGTGCAGAGGTCAAGAGAGACCCAAGTTCCTAATCCCACTTTCAGGGTTTACTCTTGCAGGGCTTACTCTCATAGCTCCTGGCTTATTGGGTTCCTTAGAAGCAAAGACGGAGGTGGCACATGCTGTGTGCAAGTGAATGGTTAAGGGAATTCTTTCAAGAGGAGCTTGAGGAGAGGGGGCAGCCAGATGGAGCAGGGGAAAAAGCCCAGTGTGGGAGTGGTATCAGGTGCTGTCCAGCTTTGGCATGATCCCTAGGGTAGCTCTGAAGTAAGAGTTTGTCCCTCCTTGAGGTAAGAGAGCTGGACTGTTGGCTGCAGGAAGAGGAAGTACATAAATTGCTGGGCAGCTCCAACTGCTCATGGGCAAACTCCAGTCACTAGTTACAGGAATTAGTTGTTACAGCAAGGAAGGTAGCCACTGGGGGATGGGCACACGAGCAGGTGAAAAAGAACCCGAGAGTGCCAACAGCATTTGCTACTGCTCCCCAAACACAATCCTCTCTCATAGACATCGCATCCTTGGGGAGAACCCATTGGAATGCAGGGGACATTTGGATGGGTGGGTAGAGACAATGAAGATGGAAAAAACAAGTTTATTTATTTTATTTAATTTATTATTTATTTCTTTTTTCAGGTGAGGCAGCCCTTGGTTGACCTCACAGATTGCAAGGACCTTGTCAGTTTACAATCTCTTATTTTTTTATTTTTTACGCCTACAGCATCTGATCTTCCTAGGTGGTCTCCCATCCAAGTACTAACCAGGTCCGACCCTGGTTAGCTTCTGAGATCAGACGGGATCGGGCTTGTTCAGGGTGGCATAGTCGTAGCAAAAAACAAGTTTAGAATACCTTCTTCACCACCTTCATTTCTTCAGTAGAATAAGATCTTGTGTATCAACGCAATGTGACACCTACGGCTTTAGCTTATATCTAGGTGATCCACCCTTTGGGCTATCAGTTTTTAGAGAGTGAGGACGAGGGTCCTGGGGCCATGCTTAGAGGCCCCATACTCCTCTCTGGACCCCGGAGATAAATCTTATTTCCTGGAAGGAGGGAAACAAACCCAGTTGTCCTGACTTTTGTTCTTTGACTTTGAAGGGTAGACCTGGCCCCCCAGGTGTTCCTGGCATGCCTGGGCCCATCGGCTGGCCTGGCCCTGAAGGACCCAGGGTAAGTGTGACACACTCTCAGGGTATTGGAACACGAGAGAAGATGGTGGCTCCTCTGGCCCCTGAAATGTAGTCAGTGAAACTCACTTCCTCAAGACGGGGAGGAAGAAGAGGGCATGAGGGCTGCTCGGAGGTCCCCCAAATGCTTCCTTCTCACTTGGACTGTAAGACCTTGGTCAGTCCAAGATCTCCGCTCCTATAAGGGGAGAAATACTGGCTGCTTGTTCTCTCTCACAAAGGCCCTGATTCTTTTTATCCTGGGCGTTAGCATGCAGTTCTTTTGTTTTCCTGAGATTACTCAAAATGGGCTTGGGTCTGAAAAGCTTCGGCCTGTCATGCTGATCTGGTGGGAGGTGGAGGGTCGAGGGCGTGGGCGTTGGCTGGCTGGAACAACCTCAACCCTATATTCAGAGAGGGGTTGCCAAATACTAATGAATTCCCCTTTCTTAAACAGGTTATAGAAAGCTAACATGTCCACACCCATGCCTTTGTTTACGTTCTTCTCACTTTGGTCATAGATTATTGGGTGCAGAGGCCATGACTTAGAAATCTGACCTGCTGAAGACAAGGGCAGGCAGGTGAATGTCACTATCTACTCTGATTCACTTCCGGCAGTATTTATTATGGGACTAGAACTCTTCCCAGTCCTCATAGGAAAAGTCCCAAGGATATATACTTTTTAAATCTATACCGGGTAGAGCTGAGCTGTCCAATATGATAGCTCTAGCCATATGTGATGACTATTGAACCTTTGAAATTGGCTAGTGCAACTGAGGAACTGAATTTAAATTTTTAATTAATTTAAGCTCGAATTTTAAAACTTGTACTCAATTCAGTTATTTGAAAATGTTTAAGTATATTCACTTGAGTATGTGAATCAGCTTTTTCAACTATAAATTTTATGAACTCTAAAAACAGATTACATATTTTGGATGCAAATTTAGCGCCTGAATTGAGATGTGATTTAAATGTAAAATATACAACAGATTTCAAATATTTATTATGAAAAACAGAATGTAAAATATCTCAATAATGTTTATATTGATTACACATTGAAATGATAGTTAGATTAAATTTGAGTAAATAAAATATATTGTTAATTTTACTTTTTAGTTTACTGTTTAGTTTTACTTTCAAATATTTATTATGAAAAACAGAATGCAAAATATCTCAATAATGTTTATATTGATTACACATTGAAATGATAGTTAGATTAAATTTGAGTAAATAAAATATGTTGTTAATTTCACCTGTTAAGTTTTACTTTTAATGTGACTTCTAAAAAAAATTTAAAATTAAGGATTTGGCTCACCTTATATTTCTACTGTTTAGCAGTGATATAGAGTTGTTTTTAGCACAGAGCGTGCTGAAAGTCCCAACTCCAAATCATTGTGAGGAGCAGCAGAGCCCACCCATGAGGCTTAGCCCCTTGCCTCCATCGTACATACCCAGGGGCTAATGTTCACTTTACTTGGCTGCAAAGTAAAGTGAACATACTCTCACTAGGGTGAGAGTATATGAAGATGTCTGAAAGCACTTCCCTATGCAAAGAGCAAAGTAGGTGAAGCTTTTTAGGGGTGTTGATACCTTATCCTCTGGGACCTGCAGAGCCCCCATTCTCTCTCCTCCACCCTCTTACAAACTTCTCAAGGAAAAAGTCAAGCATCAGTCCATTACAACGTCTTAGTGAGAATTTAGTTTGGAGATCTGCCCTGCCTTGGGCAATTTCATTTTATATTTCATCTCAAATACCAGGACGAAGTGTGGAGTATGGAGCCTTGGGCCCCTGCGAGTGAACAAGGGAGCATTTGGGGGTCCTCAAATTCACAAGCCAGCCGCGATGTCTCTAGGTCCTTCCTGATCTTGCCCATGACTTCCTGGTTCAGTTTCTTCAAGAACTGTCGCTTTAAGTCTGTTTTTACCCTTCTTATGATTCCTACAGGGTGAAAAAGGTGACTTCGGTCTGATGGGCTTGCCAGGATCAAGAGGACCAATGGGCTCCAAGGTCAGTGCGTTGGCCAGATGGGTGTTCCCAGGTCTTCTCACTAAGGCTCTGGAGCAGCTGTTATCTACAAAGATGGGGACTAAGTGGGGCTGCGGTCCTGGGCTGGGGAAGGCCACGGATGTCTGAGAGCCCAATGCCAGAGCCCTTGTCTTTACCAGTCTTTGGGGGACATCAGGGCTGGGACGTGGGGGAGTAGGGATGCCCCTCCTGCTCTTCTCCCGAGCAGCAAGGGTCAAGCCTCTGGACAACAAGACAGATGGCACTCTCTGTTCAGGCCTTTGGGGGTGGTGGTAAGAAGAGCAGTGTTCTTTTTAGGCCTGGTGTAAACACAGTCCTCAGGGACATCTTTGCGTTTAATGCAGCAACCCTCAACTAAAACTTGCAGCACAATGAGACACATCTCACCACCGCATTCAGGGGTTCCTCCTACTCACATCAAATCCAAAGGCCCTTCGGGGCTGAATGTAAATGTACCTTCTGCTTTCTTTTAGGGCTATCCTGGATCCAGAGGGGAAAAGGTTAGTACCTGTGTACGCTGGCTTCCCAGAGCCTGGTGTGGGCTTTCAGCTCTGGGGTCAGTGGTGAGCAGAGGATGGGCCCAGGTCTCTCTTTAGTCAATAACTGAGTGACCATTCCTAGCTATTCCTGGATCTTTTATCAGTGGGCGGAGAGAGAAATGAGGGGCCTCCTGAGGCAGGGCTAGCAGGCTAAGAAGGAGCTCTCGGTAGAGGTGGAGACCCCTCACATACGAGAGCAGATGAGCAATCGAAGCTTGTGCCAGGTGGAGAATGAACGCGGCTTGCATGGGGGTGCTGGAGGAAGATGGCAGATGTGTGTTTTTAGACCAGGCTTTCACTGCACAGTCTTCTTATCTGTTAAAAACAAAACAAAACAAGAACTCATTCTGAATCTGGGGACAAATTTCTTACAGGATGAGAGAGGGTCTGGGACCCAGAATTTTCTGTGGGTTGTCCTTTATTAAGGCTAGAGGTCTTTGGGGTCCAAACAGATGGCAGAACACAGAGAATTCCTTCCCTGGGTGAGTCAATCCCTGAGCTTGTTTCTTTGCCTGTGAAATGAGGGTGTTGGCTTAGGGAGCTTTCAGTTTGAAATGCTCCAATTTTTCCCCCACGGCATTTACTCATTGACTCTCTCCTGTGGTTTCCTCTTAGGGATCCAGAGGTGAAAGGGGTGACTTGGGTCCCAAAGGAGAAAAGGTAATGGCCATTGCATAGATGTGATAAACTACAATGGAAGTGATGGCCCTGTCCACCCCATCTTATGGGCTGGCTGACTGGTTATCTGTGAGTCTGATTGACTGTCTGGCTGGCTGGCTGACAGGGCTCTATCTTGAAAATGACTGACCAAGCTCTTCCATAGCCCTTTTAAGTGTTGTTTCAGAGGTGGTCACTATATTTTTTGTTCTCTTCATAGGGATTCCCAGGATTTCCTGGAATGTTGGGCCAGAAAGTAAGTACCTAGAATTAGTAAAAATAGGCCTTCGTAATAAATTAGACCATCGAACTACAACAAAAAAAGAGGTCTGCCTTTTTGTTCATCAGGCAAGGAAAGCAGGTTTTGCTGTGGAAGGTTCTGGTTTGGAAGGGAAGCAAATTGCCAGGCATGTTGGTGAGAGGGTGGCAGGATGGTCTGAGACCTCCCTCCAGTTGAGTGGGAGGGCAAGGATGCCCCACTGGGTGGAGGGAGGCCCTTTTATGTGCATTTCCTACTTCTTAGAGGGCTGTGGTAACGTTCATAGGCAGAAAGCTTTATGACGTGAGACTCGGACCTGAGCTACAATGGCCAAGGGCCCCGGTGTGAGACGAGACGCAGGCACCTTTGGCTCAGTGCCACTGCGAGATACACTCAACTCAGAGCTTCTTCGAGGGTGGCATATGTGCTGCTGGAGGCACGCAGAGTTGTTTCAGCTGGGCAACGGCAAACACTTTTTATTTGATAGTTAAATTTTTATTTAAATAGTTAAACATTTAGTGGGATTTCATGAATTTCTTCTTGGGGCATGGCTTAATAAAAAAAGGAGTTCATTCATTTGGCTTCAAGGAAAAATATTCAGTAAATAAGAATAAAATGATGTGCAGATATGACAAAAACTGTGATGGTGGCAATTGACTGATAGTTTTTTAAAAACACTTTTCCTTAGGGTTAGGGTCTGGGAAGGAAGAATGGGGGTGGTGGTGACGGGAGCTGTCAGAAAAGAGAGAGAGAGAGCGCACAAACGGCCACTGAGAATAACTCCTAATCGAACTTCATAGCAGTGAGTCCTCATGCTATAAGGCATTGACAGGGGAAAATGTTATTTTAACCTTGGCCCAAGAGCATAATGTTCTTCAAACATGCAAATGAGACACTTCCTTAGAATTCTAAAAAATTTTTTGAGTTCACCTTAAAGTTTTATTTTCTAAACTTGAATAAACAATTTTTATCTGCTCTTCTCCAGTCAGTGGAGCATATTTAAATAATTTTAGTCCTCTGACATTCACATATTATAATTTATCACTGCCTTAAGCTGTCAAAAACTCTGTTTCTGCTACCCTAGATGGAGTGTTGGTTTAAAAATAGATTATTATATAAGCAAATTAAGGGAAACATTAAAAGGGAAAAAATAATTGGGTTAAACATAGATTAATTATGTAATCAAATTAAAGGAAACATTAAAAGAGAAAAAGTCATTTTATTTTAAATGTTTCGGCTAGGTTTTCCTTCAGTGCAACAGCGAATATCAGAGAATAATAAATTACAGTAAAATTAAATGTGACAGCTTCTCTGGTCTCTGATCCATTTACTAGACTTGCTATTAAGAGTCCCCTTCCCCTTTCATGGCAGGCTGTTTTAAAACAGAGCTGATATGATAACCATAATTAGGTCTTGGAGAAATTAGATCAAGAAATTACTGGCTGCTTCCAGTTGACGAGGAGAAGGGCCACACTTCCTTCTGACAATCTTTTTAAAAAAAATTATGCTGTCTATGCTGCTGCTTTCTCCCAGCCAAACAAGACAGCCCCCGGCCCCCTTGACACGGCCAGGGCAAGTTGTGCACTGACCACACGGAGTCCACCCATCCTCTCACACTCTCTTACCGCCTAGCATCCTGAGGGATGTGGCTGGTTGGAAAGAAATCATAGGTTTAAGGTCAATTCTTGGTGAAGCAAGATGTTAGTAGCTTGGGCAGGGACAAACTCATAACGTTGGCTGAGCAGACAGATAACTTCAGAGGTTTCTGCTTGCTCCTTACTGTATATTGGTGTTCCCTGGATTTTTCCATGTGTCATATACCTCCTCTGACCTCCAAGTGAAATGTGGCCTGGGCGTTTCTTGTTTTCTCCGAGTGACTGGGGCAGCGCTTTATGGACACTGGCTGTGGACTAACAGAAGCCTTCATGGTTGCTATTGCTACCCTTAGCTTGTTGGCGGTGCATTCTGGGCTGTGGAGGGATTACTGGAAGTGCGAACAATGCTCTGTGGGTTCATGGTCCAAAGAAACAGCGGGTGGCCCTGGAATTCTAGAAGAACATGAGAAAGAAGGAGAGAAACTAAAATGGAGAAATGGGTTTTACAAAAGGTTGGCCTCAAACTATGGAATTCCGCAATTGGTGCATTTGGTTCTAATAGTTCGGAATAGGGCTTTTCAATTAGGAATGTTGTTTACATTGCTTTCTATGCTTTTACCATAATTATATTGACTATTTGAACATATGTCTGGAACATCTCTTCCCACAAAAAGTTTTCATCTAAATCGAATGGAAGCGAGCTGGAGATCAAATCAATTTTTGCTGAAGAGTGGGGAAATATACAACCCTATGTCAAGGTCATTACATGAGCAGAAACTGCCCAAAGAGGATAGTCGTGACAACTGTCCAGTTATTCCAAAACCCATATATTTGAATTTGTGCTAAAACAACAACAACAACAACAAAAGACAGACTAAAATCTCAAGTAAAAGAGAAAGCATTTTTCCCCAGCAGCTTGCAGTGTCACGGGCACACATGCGACTGAAAAGCGGGAGCCTCTTTGGCCATATGGATGGTAATTTGGGACACCAAAAGGTGTTGTTGCCTGGCAGCTGTCTCTCTCCTTTCCTTCCTCTTCCATGAGAAAACCCATCCACCATTCGCATGCCCTCACGTCACTCTTCCAGTTCCAGAGCAGCCCACCCGGAAAAGACTTGGAATGATCAAGTAGGCTGCCCTCGTGGCCAGTGACTGGATAGACCTGTGGAGACCTGCCTGCTCCACATGCCCTAATTCCTCTCTTGCTTCTCTTTGTCTTTCCAGGGTGAAATGGGTCCAAAGGGTGAGCCTGGAATAGCAGGGCACCGAGGACCCACAGGAAGACCAGGAAAACGAGGCAAGCAGGTAAGGATCCCAGGGCTTACCACACCCCTGCAGTCAGACCTCCTCACCTGGGGGGCAGTGTGGAGAGGCAGGAGGGTGGGTCAATCAGATATTCCATAAACCCAGTCTCCAGTGTCCTCTGGGCTCGTGAGCAGAAGCAGCGCCACTTCCAGGAGCTCCTGGATTCTGTACGTTAGCCATAGTTTGAGTCGATGGGATAGGGTGCTATGTTCCAACGGTTTCCAAGGCTAGGGGCAAGAGTGGATCTTTGGTTTATGAGAAGAGGCCCATCTTAATGAATGCAATGGGGACTGGAAACAAGATCTAGTCGTTTACCCAGAAAACCTGCTTTTTGCCTCAATGCCCCAGACACAAATGGAGTTTTGGAGAACAGTCCAGATATTTCCCTGCTGTTGAAGGGTCTTCTGGGTCTCAACAATTGGGTGGTTTCCCCCTAGGATCTTGATTTATAAGTGACCCCCTTTATTGGCACTATTAAGGGTTTAGAGAAATTTTTCATTCTACTCTCCCCCTGGTCAGCGGGCTCTTGTGTCAAACCATGTACAATGAGAGAGGAAGGAGGAAGGTACACTTGCCTTGGCCAGCTTCAGAGCTGTACTGAGCGCCTCAGAGAAAACTCTCATCTTTGTTCTAATGGACAGGCGCTCCTGAGAGGCGCTCCCTTTACTTTTTTGGTTGTCCGTTTGCTGGCTTTTTAGCTCCTTTCCCATTATAAATGTAACATATAATCATCACGGAAAACTCGGGAAAGTCAGAAAAATAGAAAAGAAATCATCTAAAGGCCTAATATACAAGAATAACTGTGTAACCATTTTGGTATACTTCCTCCCAGTATTATTTATTTTATGAACTTCCTAGTTGTTTCTTTCTTTTATATCCAATATCTACTTGTGGTAGCCTAAATTTTTAACTTAAAATCACAATATAAGCATATTTGCTTGTTATTGCAGTTATTCATTAGGCATTTTTAACATCTTTTCAAAATGTCTACATCAGATTTTAGTAAATGAATAAGCAATAGATTGCTTGGACAAGAGAGGCCTAGCCAAATCATCTATAATGATGAGAAGTAAACATCTTTGGGCAAAAAGCTTTTCCATTCTTATACTTCCATTATCTCCTTAGGCTAGATCAGTGGTTTTCAGACTTTAGCTTATATCAGTCACCTGGAGGGCCGATTAAATACAGAATTCCTACCCCAGGTGCAACGGTTGTAGTTCCAAGTTTGCCTCTCATTGTCCCCAATGCCTAGGCCTTACTTCCCAAAGACTCTTGACATAAGTGACTTGGCACGGGGCTGTAAATATGGAATGTTGTGTTTTTAAAGCTCCCCACATGATTCTAATGTACAGCCAGGGTTCAGAACCATGGTAACACTATAAAGCCAATTCTGGTCTTTCCCAAATGAACTTAAGAATGACACGGACTCCAACCTGAATAATTCGGATTGCATGATAACTTTCAATGTCACAAAATTCCAGTTCAATTTTCAAAGTGGCATGGCCATGCATTCACAATGCCGTCACAGATACCAATTTCCCAAAAACTAGACTCCGAAAAAGAAAAAAAAAAAAAGGAAAATCTTTCTTTCTATTTTTGTTTTAAATAATTTTCTCTCCTATTGCTGATTTCCATGCAGAATTTTCTATACTGGGGTTCAAGAAGCCTGTTGGCTTCTGTCATCTAGTTCTTTACTTCAGCAACGTTTGTCTCTTCCTGGTGAGGATGAAAGCCAAGGAGGCTATTTCTTGACCCTGCTGAGAATGATTCAGTTGTAGTAATTTTAAAAACTACACAAGAACCATGTCTGGGAGCTCAGAGAAGTGAAGGAAATTAGCTCATCCTTTCTATAAGATGTTATAAACAACCCGAGTGTGCTCCAAGCCCTCAGTGCCTGCAGTCGGCAGATACTTCAGTTGTTAGCCTTGGGAACCTGCCATGGCACGCTCTTTTTGTCATGAGTTAATTCCTAGCGTAGGGTCTTATATACCAAGTGTTCATTTGGGACAGTGGTACTGAGTTCTGGAGGTTACTGTAAATTAATCCAATTCCTAGAATCAGAAATCCAGAAGGGACTTCAGGAGATTAGGATTTCAGAGCCAGAAGGATTTTAGTGACCGTCCAATTCAATTTCCTTTGTGTAGTCACAAGGAAACTGAGGGCCAGGGAACTGGAGTGACCTGCCCAAAACCCCTCAGCTGGGCCAGCTTCCAATCCAGAGTTAGAACTTGGAGGGTCGAGACCAGCTTTTCCCCACATCACATCTTCTCTCATTACCTTCACGCTTTAGGACTTGCCGCAGGCAGGCCTAGGAAAGCAGCTTTCGGCTTTTTTATACAAATCTTCAGCTAAGGAGTCAGACTAGCTTGAGGGATCAGTAAACTTTGTGGCAATAAAAGAAAAAAGAATGCTTTTCCTGGAAAGCACTGTGCAGTGATTTCTGCTCATAGAGACATGGCTTGCTCCGAGTAGATGACTGATAAGCAGAATAGTCCATGATTGCTGGTGTCAGAATCAAGGAACATTTCCAGCTTCCTCAAGCTGTGGCACTTCCTGTGCTCACAGCCAGCTGCCATGGCTGTTAGAAAAACAAGCCTTAACTGTGGCTATATTAAGACAGTGTGACTTCCTTTGCCATTTTGGGACCCATCTTGGTTACCTCAAGGAATGCTTCAGCTTGGGCTAAGGCTTAAGACTCCCTCCGTCAGGATGAAATTAGAAACAAACTCTGACCCCTGATCCACATTGAGAGTTTAAGAACTCCTTGGACATCCCCGAGAGAGCCCCCGGGGCCATGTTGACAACATGGCAGGTTACACGTCACTGCTGAGATTGGAAAGGCGTGCCCCTCATGCCTGCTTCCGAGACTTGGGGAAGATCACGTTTCATCATGTGGGCACAGGTGTAGAAAGGGGATTCAGGCCAGAGATGTCGGGCATCAATCACTGTGCTGGTTAATCCTGGGGCAAGAGCGAACAATTAGCAAATTGTTCATGGGAAGAACCCACAGGTCTTGGTTCCTGGGGTCATTCCTAAGAGCAGTCCCGAGGGAGAAATCTTTGTTCTTGGCCTTCCTAGAGCCGGCCGCAGAGAGGACTCTCAGGTAGAATGACTGCAGCTGCAGCTGGGCCTCTTTTTAAGAAGTCCTGACTTCTCTGACCATGTGAGAAAGATGAAACCAAGCCAGTTGCTCTGATAATCCACTCGCCCCACATAGCCCTTGGTTCTGTGCAAACCCCCTTTTCCCCTCTGAGACCTTTGTCAGCCTCACGACAAACTCTTCACACAAATGAAGGTGTGTGTGTACTCACCCCATTTTGCAGATGAGAAGACTGAGGCACAAAGCACTGACGTGAGTTACCCAGGGTCTTGTGGCCAAGGCGAAACCCCAAATCTTTGACTAATGACTCAACAAAATTACTTCCTTTTGTAATTTCAGCTTCTTCCTCTTATCTCATTTGATCTATGGAAGAGAGGTGAACAAGTCAGATTCAGCCTACAGGGACCTTAGATGTCTCATGGGGAGATGATGAAATGACCGTCGCAAAATAATTGTATAGTTATGATCTAAGATAAATGCTATTGGTTTTTATTCTGAGAGCAACAGGTAGCCATTGGGTAGAAACAGCTCTTGTGTAAAATAAAAGTGGTCCTGATGAGCAGGCAGAGGGCCTGAGTTCTAGGCCCACCTCTGCTGTCTCCATGCTGGAAGACTTAATTAATTCCAGCTTTTTTCTAAGCCCATTTCCTCCTCTGCCCAGTTAGAGGAGTGGGCTAGATTGTCATATGCCATCTTTCTAGGACAGAGCAAGAAGTAACGTCTGCAAACTTGCAACCATTACTATCTCAAATGTCACTTGCCCTGAGCTTTTTAGGAGCTTGGTGGTCAAGGCCTCTGGGGCTGCATCCTGCCTTGGGCCCTTGCTTCAAAGTGTGAGGTGGTCCTCAGTTTAGAGATAAATAGGGAAGGAAATTTGCTATGTCATACTATTATAACAGGCTCTGCCTTTCTCTCTGTCAGGGGCAGAAGGGAGATAGTGGAGTTATGGGCCCACCAGGCAAGCCTGGGCCTTCTGGTCAACCTGGCCGACCGGGTCCCCCAGGCCCCCCAGGCTCCCCATCTGCAGGTAAGAGCTATAATGCTTTGCTTGACCTACAGTGTCGCACTCCTGGCCAGCCTCCCGATAGAGGGTATTAAGAGATGCCAGCAGAGGTCTACCTTGTGTTTTGAGTTAGAAACTACCAGAGGCACTTTGATATATTTATGATTTCCTCACAATTTGGCTCATTCAACTTTTACACAAGAAAGACCAACATCAAAAGAAAAAAAAAAGAAAGATAAACATCATTCTGGTCTTGTTTTTAGCATTTTGGAGAACAAATAGAGAAAGAGAAAAAAATTATATTTATGATGTCCTTTTTACTTTAAGTGAAAAATAACAGGCACATATTTTATCAACTAATACCCTTTTTAAGAAAAAAGTTTCATGGCTCCAAGAAATCTTCGTAAGCCTAGAAGTAAAGAAGGCATTGCAAATTTTTCTGTCTTACACAGTGTTACGGAAGAGTCCTTATGGATTTGCATCAAAGACAGGAGGAAACAAAAAGAAATCAATGTCTATCATTGAATAAGGCATAGGTACACTGCTGCCTTGTTTGACCTTGTTTAATTTGATGAGCTCAGCCCTTTATTTAGTTTGTTCCTTTGTCAGCTCAAAGTCAGGCCTTTCATAGCACACTGCCTGGATGAATACAGCATCCCTACGGCCAAGAAGACTGTTTACTGACTGTGTAAGAGTCTTCCTCCTCAGATATACAAAAGAAATCAAAACAATTTTTATTCTGATTTTTTTCTTAAGAAAATGAAGGCATTTAAAAATTCCACAGTGCACCACTCCACCCCCACTGTCTCCCCCACCGTGCTTAAGGAAATATATTTGTAACCATATCATGGGATGATCAAGAAATGTCAATTTTGTTAGACCAAATTGAAACTGGCTCTGAGATTCCAATCTTCCAGCATGCCAGGAAAATTCAATTTCAGGCATTCTTGGGGTTCTCTCTGCTTCTCCGACTGCCACAAAGGAGTTGGGCAAAGATCCTGAAGAGTTATGGCAGAAAAACAGCAGGGGAGGCCTCTCCAGCCTTTTCCTGCCCTCTTTACCTGTGAAATGCCTGTCGTCCAAGATCATGTGGTCTGTGGGTGCCTGGTGACCACTATCCTCATGCCAAGCTTAGGTATCAGGACATTTTCAAGGCTAGGGATCCTGGTCCCTTCCCAAAGAGCTCCCCACAACCCATCCTTCTGAGACCTTACCTCTTCTCCAGGATACCTGGGGTCTCTATTCTCTTCAGGTTGGGGCGATTTCTCCTCTTCCAATCTCTAGCCCCCCTCTCTCTTCATACTCCTCATACACTGCCACCCCTCTTAGGAGCTTTTTCTTCTGAGAACAAAAGGCAGACGTTTTCAAATAGTACCTGTTTTTAGCAAGGACAAGAAAGCACAAAATTTTTGCTATCCGCTTGAAATCCTGAGAGAACAAACATCGATTAGCATGCCAATAAGTTATCTTGTCACATCTATTTCTATTTCGTTAAGGGAACTGGATTTGAGGTGCAGCCCAGTCTACATGTCCGTGCCACATATTCTGTTCTCGTGAGTTGACTGGATGATGTGGATGGAGGTCCTACCTAGTCCTCGTCCTCCTTGGTTCTGGCATGCATAACATTCCAAATCCAGGGACTGAGAGCATGGCCCGAAGCCTGGGTTTTGCCTTTGAAAGGGACTCTCATGGTCCTTGGGGTGTCAGGGGCTCCTAAAACTGAGGAGTAGCCGGGAGATGGAGCAGAGATGTGGATGCGTAAGGAGGTCCTTAGCAGACTCAGGCCTTAATAGTCTCACTGCGTGCATCTGTTTGTCAAGGCCAGCCCCCATCTGAGCTGAATCCCAGTTTCCTGCTTGGGCCTGGGGCTGGGTGCGAAGGGCAGGGCCTGGAGACTGTCAGCAGCTCATTCAGATGCCCACTGTTTGTCTCACCAGTCTCTGATGGATTGCAACCACACCCCTTTAGTAGGGCCAGTGTAGTCTTGTTTTCCCTCCTGGTCTTCCACCTCCTTCTCGCTCAGTTGAGTATGCTCACGTCCCCTTCCCCTCCACTACCCCATCTTCTGCCAGATCCCAGCCATGCCGCCCTCTGTCCTCCAGCAGATGCCCTGCTCTCTGCAGAGCTAGAGCATTTTCCCATAGTCTCTCTGGGCCCATGTAGCCCAAATGGCATTCTTGTCATCCTCTGGTCCACCCAATAAAAAGCCTTTCCTTCCTTCAAAGCCCTTTCTTCAGTAAGGCCTTCCTTTGTCTCTAACAGATGGGTCTCCTTCTCTTGGGGCCCCATTGCCTTCTGCTATGGCTCCTCCACTGGTAACTCTTTTCCCTGTTTCATTTTCTTTTGAGATGCAAGTCCTTGAGGCAGGATCTGGCTGAGCCTGCTTCACATCCCATGGCACCTGGCAGGTGGGATGGCTGGGGCTGGTCCCTGCAGGTGCCCACATTGGCTCTCAGTCTGTCCCACCTGGGTATTTACTGCACAGCAGGCAAGCAGGATACTGACTGTCTCTTTGGATTGATGTCCCCTCCCTGTGCCTTTCTTTGAGCCACTTCCTTTCTGGGAACCTCTCAGAATGAGAAGTCTGAAGAAAATGGGGCAATAATCCTGTTCTTTGGGAGAGTAAGAAGGGAAGGAGGAGTTTATAATAGATCTTCCCTGTGCCTGGGACCAGTTGGATAATCATGGAGAGTTGGAATAGGGCCCCAGAGCAGTTCCTGAGACTACCTTTGAGAGTCTAATAAAAGTCTCAAACTCATGCTCAGGAAAAAAAAAATGGGTCTACCCAAGATTCTGCACATTACTTCCCAGAGATCCAGAACTCCTGCCCCAAATCCATCTGGGGATACCCTAGGGCTCTGCGGAACACAGGCTAAGCTCTCCTGGGCTAGTCCAACCCTTCCTTTATAGGTAAGAACTTTGAGCCTCAAAGAGAAATGACTTCCCCAATGTCACAGAGCCGACTAGGGGCTCAGCTGAATCAGTCTGTGGCTCCTGGGTCACAGACCTCCCCGCTTGGCCATGCAGCCTCCGCAGGGGCAAAGTGGAACCTGGGGGTGATATGGAGACTATTCTATGGTTCCTCTGCCTTCTCCCAGATCCCCTCTCAGACCTGCTCCCCCTGCAGCAGCCAATGGTGATGGGAAGTTCTCTGGGTAAAGATGGAGAACAGGTCCTCTGGCTGCAGGGGTGCTGGACAGGCCAGGCCCACTGGACCAGCTTCGAGAGGCCGAGGTAGGGAGGTGCAGGTTGCTGTGTCTTTCAGTGAAGCCTGACAAGAAGTAGGCGGAGGCAACAGATGCCCTCCGACAGTTGGGAGGAAGCGGCAGGGAAGCTGCAGTGGTGGCAGGAAGAAGCCTCCCTACCACATCCTATCTTATCAAGTTCTGGTGCCAGTGGCGTGACATGGAATAGTGCTGGGGGAGGTGGAGATGGTGGGAGCTTTTTATTACCCAAGTTACAGAGAAAAAGGAGTTGGAGTAAGGGAGGGAGTAAAGGCAAAATGCTTTTAGGATGTAATTTGCAATAACCAAATTATAAATTTGGCTGAGTCTTTTCTGCACCCAGACAGGGTATAAGTGAATCAGTGTGGTACCTGGGAATTGCCAGCTTCCTTCGAGCATCAATATTCTTGGATATTTGTCTTTTGAACAGCATAGCGTTAGGTCAAACATGAATTCAAATCTTAGCCTCAGTACAAATTAGTTGGATAATGGACAAACCCCTGAATCCCTCTGAGGCCACTGTTCCGGAGGAGTCGCTGGGGTCACAGAACCTGCCGGAAGTCTACTCCAGTGCCACTCTCATGTCCTTGGTTACAGAGCATTCCTACCTCAATTTCCCTAGGTTTTTAAGTACCCAGAATATTCCTGGGCTGGTGGAGTCTCTGCCTCTCTGGGCTCTGCTGAAAATATCAGAATACAAGACTGGAGCTCTCCCTACAGAATCGTATTCATATTTCTATTAGAACAAACAGCCGTTAGCTGGTGTAAGATGTTGGCAAGCCTCCCTTCCCCTCGCGCCGCCAGCATCCTGATCTTGGACATATCTGTCCACTAGCTCACGAAGGCTCAGGGTGTGGGGGTCTTCCCACTGGGGGCTCCTCCTCCAGCTGCAGCTGTTTCCCTGGGCTCCTGACCAGACCTCTCCTCTGGGGTCATTTTATTTCTTGCCGTTCTGGGGTCTGCAAACTGTGCACCCCGTTACTGGCTGCCTTGCATGTTTTACGACCTGAAAGCTATGACCAGACTCCTCCTTATTTTCCCTGGGGGAGGGGCACTTATTTCATTTTTTAGTCCCCATCTTTCCTCTCTCTCAGTCAAATGGCTCTTGCTGTAGCACTTTTCTGCCAACCAGAGTGTGACTTCTAGCATTTTCTGAAGATCTTTCCTTTCCAGTTAGTCTGCATTGATTGATTGATTGATTCATTCAGTCATTCAATCAGTCAGTCAGTCAGTCATCAAACAACTACCATTCCCCTACTGTGTGTCGAGTCCTAGTGAATGAAAACAGGCACCAACCCTGCACTCATGGAGCTTAAATTCTTGAGGGGAGATCAAAGAATCTCATAATATATACAATCACGAACAGATAAGTACCTTGAAGAAAAGGCATGAAATTGTATCCGAGTTGAACATGACAGAGTGTGAGGATTCAGAAAGGCTTCCCTGAGAAGGCAGTGTTTGAACCCAGATCAGGAGTGGGGGTGGGGGCGGTCAGGCACCTGGAGGGGAGGGATGGAGGGTGAAGGGGAGAGCGATCTGTTGAGGGAATGGAATTTCCGTATTACCAGCAGTTCTCAACCTGGGTGCACACTGGAATCATCTTGAGAGTTTTTAAGTGTGGTTGCCTGGGTTCTGTGCTCAGCAGTCTTGATGGAATGGGTCTGGGGTGTGGCCTGGGCATCAAGGCCTTTAAAAGTCAAGGTGAGAACTACTACCCTAGCAGGTATCTCACATTGCAGGGAGTAAATTTCCTGATCATGTCTTTTCAAGACACTCTTCACTCAGTACCAGGGAAGAGTAAGTGGGCTGAGCATTTTTTAATGTTCCATTTTCTTTCGGAAGAAATCAAGGAAATGCACACTCAGACACTCTTTTGTAAAGATCCTATGTATAAGAAGAACAATATAAAATAAATAAGAAACAATAAAAGTTATCAGTCAGCAATTTGATCATCTGCAAGCAGTCCCTATTGATAGTGGTCTAAACAAACAGGATTGTTCTTTTCATGCAACAAGGAAGCCCAGAAGTGGCCAGTGGCCAGCTTTGGTCCAGCCTTTAAGTGTCACTATCAGGGCTCCAGGCCCCATGAGCCCCTGGTTTTTCCCTTAAGTTGGCTTCTCTTCTCATCCTTATTACTTTATGTTTGCAATGTGGCTGCTGCAGCACCAGACATCTTCTGTCTTCAGGGCGGGAAGAAGGGGGAAGCTATGCCTTCCCCCAGCTATGTTTCGCCCTTATCAGGATAGAGTGTCCCAGATGCCCACCCTTCTCCCACCACAGACCCTGCATTGGCCGACACTGTGGCACCTGGTCACCTTCAGATGCAACAGAGTCTGGGAAGTAGAATCCCTGTTTGTCTAGTCTCCAAAGCATAGAGAGAGGGAAGGGAGAAGGGGGCTTGGGAAAGGTGTTACCGCACCCAGCATGGTTCAGGGACCCACACAGAATATCACCTCTCCCACATCTTGGCTCAAAAGCATCTCTTTGAACCTCTGCCCCAGGCCTGCCCTGAAATACTGGGGACTTAACCTTCCTTCTGTTGTGAAGGTCACTCACATTTCTCTGGGCTGTTTGGTTTTCTCTTCCTTGGCGCTAGTTACACAACAGTCTGTTGCTTCCTAGGACAATTTGTAATGGGACCCAAAGGGGAAAGAGGATTTCCCGGGCCTCCAGGAAGATGTCTTTGTGGAACGCCCATGAATGTGAATAACCCTTCTTACGGGGAATCCGTGTATGGGCCCAGCTCCCCGCGAGTTCCTGCGGTAAGGTCCTTCTGGGCGAAATCTGGGGTGTTGTCCATTAGGACAACATTTGATCCTCTCGGGGCTTTTTAAGAGTAAATCTTATTTTGTATGTATGTCTGTATTTAGTAAAACTTATTTCCCCCATTTACTGGGTACACACATATAAGAAATTGGAAAATAGAGGAAATATCAAAAAAAGAAACCCAAATTGTCCATTTGGTTGTGGGTCCATTTTGGAGTGGTTTTTTCTTTTTGTTTTTTTTTGTGGGGTTTTTTTGGTCTTTTTATGCAAACAAACAAACAAACAAAATACACAAAAAAATACACACACATAAAAAAACACACACATTGAAAATTTCAAATAAATACAAAAACAAAACAAATAGCTTAATGAACTTCCATGTACCCTTTACCCAAATTTAATAATTATCAACTCACGGCTAATCTTGTTTCCTCTTTATGCCTACTTACTACTGCCCACCCCTTTGGATTGTTTTCAAGTAAAGCCTGGTCATCAGTTCATCATAAACATCGTTTGAATCAATGCATACTCTTCTATCTATCATGTGGTTGTGCTGTGATTTATTCACCCAGTTCCCTACTGTCTGATGTTAATAGAGTGCTCCCAAGCATTTCACTAATGTAAATAACACTGTAATGAACATCTTTGAGTATAAGAATTTTGTTAAGAATCATTTCTAGGTGTTGAAGTACTTGCTTAGATGACATCACCTTTCTCCTTAAGTCTTGGGAATAATTTAAATGTTTAAAATTTTTAAATTATGGCGACTATTTTTATTTCAAATTTAGACATCAGGAAGTGAATTGCAAAGGTGTGGGAACCAAGCCATTCCTTCCCACTTCTGGAGGAACGCTAGAATATAACATGCAAATCCCTCTTCCCACTGTTGAACAGCCCGAGGTTGGCGATTCTGTGTCTTCCTCTAGCTTTTCCCTGCCCCCTGTAGAAGTTTTTTCTGAACACCTCACCAGTGTGTTCTCTGGCAGATTTTTGTGGTCAACAACCAGGAGGAGCTTGAGAGGCTGAACACCCAAAACGCCATTGCCTTCCGCAGAGACCAGAGATCTCTGTACTTCAAGGACAGCCTTGGCTGGCTCCCCATCCAGGTACCCCGAGGCGTGCACTTAGGACATACCCCACCCAGAAAAGGGACACGTCATTAAAGGTAGGGAAGGCCAACAGTTAGGCCTAGTGCAGAGCTTTTTGCAGTCTTTCCATGGAAGGGCCGAGCATCCTTCTCTCTATTTCTGAGCAGCTCTCCATGCCCCTGCTCCCCAAACAGAATCTCCTCTCTGAGCCAAGGATCCAGATAGTCTCATATCGCTGTACTGCTCGGCCACCGACTGCTCTGGCCCAGACGCCCTGCCAACTACAGAGCTTTCGGCAACGGGAAAGGAATGCCTTTCCCACTCAGGAGGAAGCCAGGGGCTGCCCTCTGGACCTAGAGCCTCTGTCCCCAGTGTCAATGACTGCCCTGCCTGGCACGCTGTCCCTGGTAACTATGGTATATTTCTTTGACCAGCTGACCCCTTTCTATCCTGTGGACTACACTGTAGACTACCGCGGCTCCTGTGGGGATGGGGTCCTACAGCCCGGGGAGGAGTGTGACGACGGGAACAACGATGTGGGTGACGATTGCATAGGTGAGTGAGGCCCAGCCGAGGAGAGCTCTGGGGCGGGGGTCAGGGCAAGCCCTAGACACCAGCTGTGGTGGTTTGGGACAATTCTAGAGCCGGAGGGATGATGTACCTGTGCTGTTGTGGGGACAACCTTCTCCATTCAGGACAAATGTTAACTTCTACCATCCAAGCATGCCAGTGGGGGTTGGTGTCAAGGACCTTGTCCTCAGAGGAGCCACCAGTACTTCGCTTTTTTCTGAATCCTACTTCTTGGCAAAATCCATATACCAATTCATATTCTTGTTCAAAAGATAAGGGCGATGCAAAAGGGAAAAGCTATGAATTTAAGTCAAGACTCAGTTTTACTAGATTGAGCCCTACTAGAAAAACCCTTTTTAGGGGCAGTGGGCTGGCCAGACCTGCCTTCAGGCCTTCAGGCTTACAGGATGCTACCAAGATGGACAGGCAGCCTAGCACTGGAGGGTTTGCTTTGCTTTTTAAAATAAATCGGGTAACAAAAGTAGAAGATGAAGTGAAAAGCATAGGCTTTAGAGTCAGACAGAACAGTGTTCAAATGCAGGCTTGAAGAGCCACTAACCCACCTCCAGCTCAGAGCAGCTACTCAGTGAGTGGGGTGATGGGGAAGTGATAGCTCCAAGCCTCACTCTTCTCAACTGAAAAATGGGTATAGCGGTACTGACCACTTAAATCTTTAGAGATTCTATGAACTAATGTGTGTGGATTGTCGGGGTCTAGTGAGGGTTCAACATCCCTTCACCGAATTACTATTAAGCCCTTGCCAGACTCTGCTCGGGGTTAGGGATTTGGAGATACAAAGTTGAGTTCCTTTCCTGCAGGAAGCTCAAGGGAAGGGTGACGGCGTGGTGAGGAAGGTGTGCACAGGGGTGGGGGTGGGGTGGAGTGAGAAACTGCACTTCCTGTGACAGTTCCTGGGATGGTGATCCCCAGGATGCTGGCCTTTCCTGGAGTCCTTTCTGCCTCTGCTGCGGACACTGTCAAAAAGGAGATCATGCAGCAGGAAGGAACAAATGGGGTCTGAAAGCCTTGTGAAAATGAGGGTGGCATTCATACTCCAAGACCCTCCCTTTGTGTGAAAATAGAGATCCCTTTGAAGACCATCTGGCTCCCCAGGGATATGGAGTCACCCACCCTGGAAGCTCTCTGTAGACAGACAAGAGCCACCATGGCCATCACTTGTGCCCAATGCTCAGTCTCCTGACCCTCAGCTCACGGAAGCCCACAGTGGTCCTGTGAGGGGGAGGTGGTGTCCATGCGCCAGGTTTGAGATAAGGACATTGAGGCTTCAGGAAGCCAAATGGCTGCTCTTGGATGCTTGGCTAACAAGTGGCAGGACTGGGCTGGAGTCTGAGTCTCCTTATTCTCCAGTGTGGGATTTGGGGTCTGAGGGGTGGTCCCTGGATGCACACGAAACTTTATTGAAGTCCATTTAAAGCTTTAGTGAAGTCCATGAGCACGAAGGGCTCATGCTCTGGATGGATGCTTTAGGCCACGATTTTACCAGATAGAGCCTTAGTAGAGAAAGTCCTTTTAAGTGAGTGGGGCCCACCCAGGCTGGCAAGCCTGTCCTGCCCCTGCCCCTTCTCAGATCTGTACCTCCTTGTGTCCCCTCAGGCTGTCACCGAGCATACTGTGGAGATGGTCACCGGCACAAGGGCGTGGAGGACTGTGACGGCTCTGACTTTGGCCACCTGACATGCGAGACCTATCTCCCTGGGTAGGGAGGGCGTCACGTGCTCTCATAACACCCCTTCCTTCCCACCTGCCACCCTCCCTCGTTCTTCCTCTTCTTTCCTTTACAATTTTGAGTGCCTCGTACATTTCTGGTACTTTCCAGATACGGAGGTATGGTAACAACACAACACATGATCTTGCTCACCCAGGGGAGACAGGCAGTGAAACCATAACCACCATGTGTCCTTCTGGGGCAGGCTGCATGCCACCGAGGACAAACTGGGACAGACACAGCCACCAGCTCCATCCTGGGCCCCTGGGGGTCAGCGATCTGTAAGCTTAGCTGCTGCCCCACACGAGCAGCCCCCATCCCTGGTGGCTGCCATGACCACATTAGTATTCTGGGCTGTGGGCCTGGGAGAGAAGCCCAGCGGAGGGTGGAGGCATCAGGGTGTTTCAAAGAATCTAAGCATCTGTATAACTTGCACTCTCTGGAACAACTCCTTACTTCTGGGCAGGCCTGTGGGTGCCAGTGAGACCACACCAGAATTAATAACTAGTTTTGCTGGCTTGTGGCTCCTTCCAGAAAACTCTAAGAACTTAGTATTCCCTTCAAGGACCCCTCTAGTTACTTCTGAGACTCTTCAGTGGGGAGTTCACATTGCTTAGGATAGACATTCCAATGTTCCAGCCTCTACCTGGACATCTCTCAAGCCAACTGAGGGCCACTGGCCTGTGAGGCGCTCATTCCATGCCCAGGCTCCTTTCAAGATGTAAAATGGCACCATGTTCCCCCTAATCCTCCAGAACCGGAGTTGCATAGCGTTCTAGGGCAGATGGGGAGGCTCTTCCCCACCGCCCCCCAACACCCCTCCTCAGTCCCTTAGAGTTTCAGTCTCTTCAGCCTTTGCTTCCAGTGTTGTTCCTCCGATAGGTTTGGACCCAGGCCCTTGGCAGGGCTGGGGAACAGACACCAGGCCTGTCTCTCTATTGCCCCCTCTCATCTCTCTCTTCAAGGTGGAGGGGGTCTTTTTAAAACCCCCCTACCAAATGCATATTAACACATCAAACTAGGCTGGGGGAATTACAGATCTGTTGTCATCCCAAGACTCTGAGCACTTTGGGCTTAGCCAGGCCCCCCACTGCATCTAGTGTATGCACTGCCCCCTCTCTGCAGTGAGGAGGCTTCCTAACAGCCACCTGCCAGAGAGTTGGCGGGAGGTCTGAGCTGGATAATGGCTCCATGGAGACAGCTGAGAGTACACAATCACTCACAAGTACAGGCTCTCATCGAGCCCAGGGCTTGCCCACTGGCTCACTGTGGTTACTCTCCTGAACTCCAGAACATAAGTAGAATGTATAACCCACCATCTGGGCACTAGTACTGGGCTTACAGAGGTATAGACTGCATTGTCCAATATGGCAGCCCACAGCCACATGTGGCTATTTAAATTTAAATTAATTAAAATTAAATAAAATTTAAAATCTAATTTTTTAGTCATACTAATCTTATTTCAAGAGCTCAGTAGCCACATGTGGCCAGTGGCTGCCATATTGAATCGTACAGCAATCGGACATTTGCATCAGTATAGCATAATCTAATGGACAGAGCTGGAAACATTTCAGGCCTTGAGACGGGGGCGATTCTCTCAGAGATGCTATATTAAAAACAAGACTACCAACTCCTTTTACCCGGATTCCTCAGCTGGATTCAAGAGAAAACACTCCAGAGGCCTAGACTCAACTCCCCCAAGCCCCTTACCCCAAACAAGAATGAGAATAGTCTCTATAGAACCCTTGGCCCTAAGTAAGGTGGCAGCAGTGGCTGCTGTTTGATGAGGTTCGACCGAAAGTCGCCAGAGGTGGCTTTGTCCTGAGGGCTAGGCAGGAGCTCCCCTGCTCACTTCCCCATGTCCACCCTGACACGTGTCTGCCTCCTCAGGTCTTATGGGGACCTGCAGTGCACCCCGTACTGCTACATCGACTCCACGCCCTGCCGCTACTTCACCTGAGGGCGCCAGGAGGAGGCGGGCTGCCTCTCACATGCCTGCAGCAGCTTCTCCACCCTCGTGAAACTGACCTCGCACCATCCTGGTCCGGTTTCCATCGCCTTCCTGCAACCAAGACAAGGACAAACTCGTGCTGCTAAGATGTGCTTTTAACTCAGTCCAACTGGAAGAACTTAGGACCAGTGCATCCTGTCTTAATCCAAAATACCGGAAAACCTCCCACATGCCCAGCCTGGGGACTGTGACCCATCGCTCAGATCGGGCCAGTAGCTGAACTACAGTGCCTGTTCTATTCCCGCGTGTTGCCCTTCCAGGCCGTGGACTGGCTTAGCACTGTTACACACACATGGACCTGCAGACTATTTGTTCTCATCCTGTTTGGGGCGTCTGGGGTACAGGCCTCTCCATCCCTCTGACCTCCAGAAATGTGGGCATTTTCACCAGGACAACCAGCTTCCGAGTCTCTCCAGGCCTGTGAACCGCACAGCAGGAAGTGGGTCCATTCTCTCATAGTGGCTCACAGCTCTGGACCTCCTGAGGGTCCCCTCAACTGGCCACAGCCCAGTATAGCCCCATGTGGACGTCCCCCAACAAGAGACTCAACTGTGAAGAAGTACTGAGAAAGCCACCAACCCCTTACTCTGCCTCAAGTATTGGGTGGAGGCTCAGCTGTGGTGCCTGCCACGTAGACAATAGCAGATGAGTGGCCTTCCGCTTCTTGACCATTTCCCAAAGGGACAGCTCTCATGGTTTCACCATCCCAGGCACCATCTTGACCTTGTGGCTCTCTGCACTTAGGCCTCTGTCTCTCAAATGCCTCTCTCGTCCATTTCTAATTCAGGAAAGTCTCTGGCAAAGTGACCTGAGTCCACAACTGGGCAGGCTGTCCGTGTTTCTTCAGCCCTGAGGAGAGCCCCGCCCTGGATGTCCCGTCTGGGACCCCACCACTTTTAGGCAGAGACGGTTCCTGTCCCGAGCTCCAGCTCCTGGCTGCCTGCTGACCCCTGAACGCCCTGTGGCCTCCCCGTGTCTCCATAGTGCGCAGCTTGGTCCTCCCGTCTGTATGCCGAGTCTCCCACGTGTCTACAGGGTCGTTGTCCTGCATGTCTGTGAGCTGCCTTTCATCACCATCTTTCCTGAGTGGGCCTTGGCATTGTTTTAGAAAGACGTCTTCCCCACAGCAGACCTTGAGTGGGGTTTGCCCATTTGTTATCAGACGAAGGGACACTCCTGGACTTTCGTACAAAGCTATTTAATTTGGCTAAGTCCTGGGGACTCAACAGATAGGAGCCTCTGGCCCAGCTGGCCATCATGCTGGTGGTCTATAGTGGACGGGGTCAACCCGAAGGTGGTGTCTTCAGAGATGGGCACATTGGCCAGCTTGGTTTCCTCAGCCTCTACTGCAAGCCCTGGGGTGATCTGCTCTCATGTAAAGTCACCACCTTCATGCTGGGATCTCTGGGTAGGAAATCAAGAAATAAAGACAGCTCTTTTCCCCAACTGTGGCTTTCTCTTCTCTGGGGGTTTGGGGCTAGTGTCCAGCATTGCTGGATGGAATGAGGGGTCTGAATTCAAATTCTCTTCCCAGACCCTGCAAAGGATTCTAGAATTTGGAAGCAGTCCTGCTTCCTCAGGCAGAGAGGAGAAAACAGGTTCAGAGATGTGAAGGAACTTGCCCAGGATCACAAAGCCTCGGCTTGCTAACCCAGCCCCAGCCCCAGCCTTGTATGAGGATCTTTAGGACGGGATGGAGATTCAATACTGCCTTGGGCCTGGCTGAGAGGGTCCCTTTTCTGGGCCTCACACCTTGGTGGGCATGAATCTGTTTAACTATCGTGCATAATTTGCTTAACTTCTCTGAGTCTCTATTTTCCCATCAATAGACTGGGAATAATAGTATCTTATTTCAGGGTTGTGTTGGATTTTAGCGAGCATATAGTTAAAATGTCTGACACCTAGAAACTGTTTAAGAAGTGTTAGGTTTTATCTGTGTCATTATTATTTAGTAGCTCAGCCCAATTCAATCACATCTTTGGGGACCTGGGGTATTTTTCTTCCCCATTTGAGGCCAGTTACGTGAGTTCACTTTTGACAGCAGTTTGGAGCACAGCCTTTACTGCAAAGCCGTGAGAAAAAGCAGTGGTTCTCAAACTCTGCTGCACGGTAGCCCATTTGATAAATAAATACCACCAGGGATGAACCCATAGACCATCAAAATTAGGTTTACTGACTGGTAGGTAGTAGGGAGACCAAACACCAGAGGAGCAATGGGGTACCCCGTCAAACCCAGAAAGACAAGATCGTGATAGGATTTGGGGAGGGAGGGAGAGTAAGAAGAACGTACATGAAGCAGTGTTGGGACAGGCACAAAGTAAAGCAAGCTGTGCATAAAGGGCTCAACAAGCAGCCTGGACCGGAAAGTGGACCAGTTAAGAAAAACATGGAATGTTATGCCTGAAAAACCCTTTCAGAACTTCTGCATCTAGGATGGAAATTGAAACTGCTTCTCTGTGTCAAAGTGACACACAGTTCAGGTCTTCCAGGTAAGAATGGAACACTCCATTCTTACTGACAGGCTTGCAAACTGCAAAGTTTTGACAGCCCATGACAAAGTTTCACAGTGATTTTTGTTCAGGTGGCAGGAGTAACAATGGGAGGCTGGCGATGTCATTAGAAAGAAAGTAGTAGTCACTCAAAGGAATGATTATGACACTTTCAAGCGGCAGCGGTGACTTTGAGAGAAAGATCACTTCCTATTAACTTTGCTGCTGGCTTTATATCAGTGTCTGCTCAGGCAATTTGATGAATGGCAGGGCACAGGGCTGAACTGTACACTCTCAGTCTGAACGGGTTTGTTTCCAATCCCAAGTATCTACCTGTGGCCAGGACTCTCTAGGCCAGCCCAGAAGCTCTTACTATAACCAGGGAAATGTGGGGATGGGCAAAGCCGTTTGAGTGACAAATGTGTAAGCAAAGTAGTCTTTGAAGGAAGCTTGGTAACTAATACTTAGAAACCAGTGCTTGGAAAGATGGTAGTTGCTGAGCATTTTGGGACAGACGGGATGCTGGCCATCTACCAGTCTAATAAGGGCATAGAGGGCACATGTGGGTCAAATTGCTTAAGAATCTTCAAACCTCATTATAATTACTGGGCCAACCTATGGCCCAGTGACTGTTATACTTGAGTCGTCTGCTCCATCCTTCCCCTATAATGGTGTGAACCAGTTTAAATTTACAATGAAACTCAGATCTTCAGTTTGTAACCATGAGCTCACAGGTGATGGACCCTCGTGGTTCACCAAGGTTACACTTGAGCACCCACAGTTACCACCCAGAAGTTCCAGAAGTGTCATCTATTCTCCCTCATCTTCATTTGTAACCATTCTGAGAGGGTTTCAAATCACACAAGAGTCATGGGTTAAAGACTCCCCACTCCACCTCACCCAACCCCCCTGAGAGAGGAAAATAACTCCCATTTCTCTCTGGGGATTTACCTGAGTTATTTGCAGTCCCGATAGTTGACTTTTTAGTCAGACAAGTCTACAAGAAACAATCTTACTAAAGGCAGAAATTGGTTATTTCCCCTGCTCTCTGTTCCCCCTTGCCCCACTCCCTTTATAGAAACTCAAGTAAAAGTCACTGGCCGTAGGTTGGCCCATTAATTATAATGAGGTTTGGAGAGTCTTAGGCTATTTGACCCATATGTGCCTTCCATGCCTCTATTAGAATGATGACCAGTGTGTCTGTCCCAAGATGCCTATGTAACACTGAAATTCTGCTGCAGACACTAGTATCTCAAGAGAATTTCATTTATGGTTATTTTGGTCCCCGTAATTTCTTCAAGGACAATGATGAATTTTTCTGTCTTTGATGTTCCAACTCATAAACAGTACCACAGTCCACTGCATGTCCTGCCCCAGGTTATGCTCAATATAACACCTGCGATGGGAACTTGAAGGTAGTCATCCTGGTCATGGGTCATCACTTGAGGCTCATCAGTCTTCCCCAGGGCAGTTGTTCTCAATTAGGGCTCGTCAGAATGACCAGAAGTGCTTACGAAAAAGATTACTGGGTCTCAGCCCAGAGTTTCTGATTCAGCAGGCCTGGAGTGGGGCCTGAGAATTTGCATTTTTAACAAGGTCCCGGGGAATGCTGATGCTGATGGACCAGCAGGACATTTTAAGAGCCACTGCTCCAAGGAGATGGCTCATCTGAAGACCACTGCAGTAGACCAAAAACACAGGGAGGAAAGGTGGGGACTTGGGGTGGGTTGCTTTTTAGTACTCTTCTATTAAACGGGTAGAGTCCAGATCCCTTCCTTTTGAATCTAAGTGGGCTTTTGACTGCTTTGACCAGTAGAATACTGTGGAGGTGATGCGGTATGACTTCCCATGCTAGGTCTTAAAAGGCCACGCAGCTTCTCAGAACACAACATTCTAGGGGAAGGCAGCCATCACATTAAGACCGACTACCCCGAGACTGCTGTGCTAGCAAGGCTATGTAGGTTCTCTGGTTGGTGTTCCCAAATGAGCCTACCCCACCATGGTACCAGATATGTGAGTGAAGTCAGCCTGGACTTCCACTCCTGCCCATTTGCCAACTGAGTACCTCCGAGTGACCTCAGTTGAAGCCACAAAGAGCTGAATTGCCCAGCCAAGTTCTGTCCTAACAAATTCCATTAGATAAAGTTGTTGTTTTAAGCAACTAAGTTTTGGGGTAGTTTGTTACTTAGTACTAGATAACTAGAATACTGCTCTAGGTTAGAAAGGATGGGAAGGAAGCAAACTACACACAGTGAATAAAGAGGGAAGTGCTAAGCCTAGAGAAGCCATCGACTTGGGTTTGGTGCCCTCTGCAGGAGCCATAAACAGAAATGTCTTAACTCCCCCTGGGACTTATTTATCTGGCCAGGAGAAAAGCCAGAGCTGGGAGGAGCCTTAGTGATCTCATGGCCCAGTGTCCTCAACCGTAGTGGAGACATGGGATATGTTGAGGTGAAAGATTGATTGCAATAATTCCTCAAATTTTCATACCTCCCTGTATCTATACTTTTCCAATGCACTTTGCAACTCCTCCCATCAACTAGTGGAGGGTATTTTCCCACTCCTTGATTCGAACTTGGCCTGTGCCCTGCTTTGGCCAATGACATGTTAGCAATTGTGACAGAGACAGTTGTGTTTATTCTCATTCTGCCTGGCATGACAACATGCCCAGGCTAGAGGATGACACGTGGAGCTGACCTGCCTGAGTCGCCTGTTTTGCTGGCTAAGGCCTCCTAGATCAGCTGAACCTGTCAACTGCCAGGCATATCAAGGAGCCCAATCAAGACCAGAACTGTCTATAGCTATGCCCAGTTTAAATCGCCAATCCAGACTTGTGAGCAAAATAAATGCTTATCATTGTAAGCCATTGAGTTTGGAGATAGTTTGTTATGTTATTGTAGTGGCAAGTTAACTGAGCATTAAACTGTTATGTGATGAATGTATAGCACCACTTCCTCACTGAGAGTCCTGGTTCAAGTTTAACTCTTATTTCCACCTGAAGAAATGGGAGCCAACTGCAGAATAAGCAGCAGCAGATTCTTGGCCTAGATCTCTTAACGTGTAATTGTATTCAGTCCAAATTTATTGAGCACCCATTAGGTGAAAGACACCACAGAATTAAAAAGGAATATGGTCACAGCCACCTAGGGGTTTACAGTCTATCAAGGGAGCCAAGACCACAAGACAGATGTGGGCATTGCTGATCAGAGGTATGGAATAGAAGCAGGAGGCAGGATCACTTCCAGCCATCAAGTGTCAGTCGGGGGTCAGAGGTGTGGCATGGCATTCCAGGTGAAGGAAATTGGTGAGCTAAAATGACTAAGATATGTCTAGGAATTCGGTTTAAACTTTGCGTGGTTCTCAGACCCAAAGCCAAGCCTGCCTTTCCAGACCAAGGAAAATGGCCTCAGATGCCATGTGGCTCACTAAAGTCATCCTTTAGTTTTGAACTTACACATCTTTTAAAAATGAGGTGTATGTCCTAATAAACGTAACACCAAACTAAGAAGGAATCAATTTAGATAATCAAGGTTAAGCACAAAGGATTCCTAAAAGAATCTTATATTTTTCATTGATTTCATTAGAAAATAAAATCCACCAAGACAGGAAGTGTATTGCTGACTTTAACTTTTACTTAAATATAATGATCTTTTAAGAGAATAAACCAAAAAAACTTTACACAGCAAATATTTTACATAAATGTAAACATGCACATCTACTTCATAATTAAGCAAAATAAACTTTTAAGCACAAAATTTTAAAAATTATTAAAGAATGAGACAATGAACTCAAGACGGAAACAACAGGAGCAACGAAAACACACATTCCATAAAGCTTCAATTGGTCTTGTCCTCCAACCCACTGGTTAAGGCCTGAGTTTCAGAAATCCTACCTTCCTCGCCAAATGGGAACATCCGATTTGGCTGTACCTAATATACATCCACATAACAGAATATTACTCTTTCAAAATAATGTAATAAATACATCACACACACACACAACCAAACCCGCACACACCTGTACACACCCGTACACACCCTACTTAACCAGCCTCTCAAAAAGGGAAGTAAGGATTTTGGAATTTTCAAGTTTTTCCACTACTGAAGCACATACATATTAATACCACATAGAGAAAAAAAATGATTCCGCTACAGAAATAAAAGTTAATGAGTGGCATCATTACAAATATCTAGTTTGTGTTGTTTTCCAAATCACGTCTTTACTGTGGTTTGCCATGGTTCCTCAGATCGTTCGGACTTAAGTCTTTACACCTCACCTAATGACCCATAGTTGGTAGACGTACAGAACAAAGGAAAGGCAATTTTAACAATTCAGTTAGAAACTTCAAAATTATGAAAATCAGATGGATAGTTTTTAGCTGTCTCTAAATGCCTGGAATGTTTTCTCTAAGTCTACCCTCTCTACTCCGATAGTTGGTTCCCTCCGCCTCCCACTCATTGGGCTATAAGCATCTGAATGTCTATTCCTGTGGACGCCCCAGAGGATAGACATGAGAATAACGGCCCCTGCTTTTCAGGAGTTCATACTAACCAGAGCTCAAGCGAGGTCAGTACGTACACACAGCACTCCAGTCAGCTGAAATGAACAAGGAGGAGTCCATGAAGATGGCACCTACAGCACCTCAGGAGTAAAGTTTGGAGGGGGCGAAGGGGAGGAGAGACTGTGAAGGCACAGAGGCAGGAAGAACAAGTCAAGTTGGGCTGGCACGAGGGTGCTCGTGAGTACTCTGTAAGGCCAAATTCTTGATTTCCAAAAAGAAAAAATTCCTTACTCTGGTGGGTTAAGCTGGAGGGCGGACAGAGGGAACCACCGAAGGCTTTGTGCAGAGAACCGACCTAGACTGTGCTAAAAGACAGCTGCGCGATGCCAGGCAGGATGGACGATGGGGGAGTCTGAAGCTCAGAGAGCCTGACTCGCCAAACCCAGTGCCACGTGCAAGCATTTCCTATAGAAACAAATGTTTACCCAACATGCCAAAAACCACAGTTCTGTCTATATATGTGAAGACTTTAGGAAAGGAAAAAAAAAGAGGCTTAAACATATTTTTAGTTCAAGTTCCTGGAACTTGCCCCACCTTGAGCAAGTTAAGAGCAGTGAAACATTCCCACATCCAGTAACAATTCAAGTCTCCCAATCGTGACCTTCACCCTCCCTGAGCTGTCATTACCAAGGAATTATAAAGCAATTATCAACTCATTATAAAGAAGTTCCTACCTGCCATTAAATCCACCGGACACCTCGACACCTCCTGATGGGCTAAGAACCTACCACAGGGGGCGAACGTGCACCAGCAGCCCACACTTGGCAGTGGTGTGAGCACGTGGCCGGACGCTGGCCGTAGGGCCACGATGTGGGTAAAAAAGGTGACTCTGTAAAGCTTTATTCTAACAAAGCCCCCACTGTGGATCACCTAATTCCCTGCTAGGTCCAGTCTGCTTCCCTCCGCTAGCTGGGGAGGGAGAGGCCATCCAAGTGGAGGACCCCAGGCAGGAAAATCATATTGAATGTTCTTGATACCCACTAAACATAAGTAGATGGAAATTTCTCAGGACATATTCATTCAAATAACAGGAATGGGATATTCCATCCTAATTATGGGACAATTTATCACACATACACTCAGTAAGGAACATTTACTAGTGACCAGTTTCCTGCAACAGATTCAGTATGGAAACTGCACACAGAAGGCAATCTTGTGACTTTCTTCTAGTTGTATATAAAAAATACAAATCAGTCTGGGAGTCAGGCACAAACAGTGGTACAAAAAGAATGAACAAAAATATCTTATCAAAAGAATGTGCTCATTTCATATTGCAGAACTCCTATCTAGATTCTGGTTTTTGAAAACCTGCAGCTGGTTAACCGGTTCAGAAAGGGTTTTTCATCATGCCTCTCTTCCGCTCTGACCATCCCCTATTAAATCCACTGAGTGAAGAACACTTAATATGGATCTGCGATGGAACGAAAGCCCCAGTTTGACTGAGTCATGTGTTAAGCACAGTGACTGCTGGTTTAATTTGCTCACTAGCCCATGCATTTAGGGACTGTCTAGATCTAAATTTGAGCTAGAAGCGCTCAACTCTTTTCTCTTTCGGAATCCAATAAAAACTCCAATGTTCATTTATAAGTCACATGTGTAAGAATCTCTGGTTCCAGTAAGTGAGATTCAAGGGAGGGAGCAGTGGGGAAAGCCTGGACTGGGGGCAGGAGACTGGTTGTAAACCAGCTGTGTGCTTCCCTTTCCTTATTTGTAAATGAGGGGGCTGAACCACAAGAGCTCCAGGGTCCCACCCAACTGACACTCCAGGACTCCTTCTGGAAGTCCATTTCTACACAGGCTTATCAGGCTGAGTCAGATAAAATTTCCTTACCACTTTGTGTCCACAAATGAAAGTGGTTTTAACATACTTCTACACTGCAGTTTGAGGTTTCTCTCTCTTACCTCTCAAAAACTGTGTTTCATTTCACTGGTGCAGACCACTTGGCCAAACTGGTGGCTGCTGAGGTTTAAAACTGAATCACTGGCCTGGTGAAGATATGGCCTTTGAGTAACCTAGACCAGGGCACATTTGTATGTTTTTCATTAACAGTGTTAACCAAATAGAAATATAATTCTGTTAGTTCTTCTACAGATCTACTTAAACTTTGAAACGTGAGATTGTTCAAAAATTACATGAGAAAATCACCCATCACCACTAAGTTAAAGACTTGAATATCTGAGAGGTCCAGAGCCTCAAACTCCTACTACAGTCACTGAACCACATTTTCCTCTTGGCAATGGACTTCATGCAAAGTAGCCCGGTCTTGCAGCGTATTTGTGCACCAAAAAGTTGATTTGAAAGATCCAACTCTAGTCATCACTGTCACTGCCAGACTCACTCAACTGCAAGTCATTTCCTATAAAAAGAAAACAGAATCAAACCAAAAGTACACAACTTAAAAATGACTTCCCCACAATTCTTTGGTTGACCGCCTTGGCTATCACACTATAGTAAAAGCAGGCCAATTCAATTTAGTAGAGAAAAAAATTGATTTGGCTCATTGACAAAACTGCTCCAGTCAAAACTGTGAAAGAGATGCTATTTTTGGTACCTGCAAAGCACATCAATGCTGTTTACTGGGATAGAACAGGGGAGAAGTAGGCTAGATAGCTTTAAGATGTGTTAATAAATAGCAAGAAAATATTTCTAAATAACTTTCACTATCTAGTAGAATTTTTCACATTGAGTTGCTTTATAAAAGCTAAAATGACACCAAGTTGGGCTTCCCATTAAGGAAGCTGAATACTGTTTATACGTGCAACATGCTAATCCAATATCCACCCCGTATACCTCTATACAGGATATTCATGTTACTTTAAAACTGAAATCTGGACTAATTAGCTTTTGTAAGCTTCAAATTTTTGTTTGGTATGCAGAATTTAGGTTTTAGGAGTGTAGAACATAAGTACTAAACATTTCACTCTAATATAATAAAAAGAATAACAGGCCCCCAGTTGACACCAATTGGATTATAACAAAAGTAAACATCTGTATTTTTAGGTTGCTAATCTCCATACCAGCTCTTCTCTAAGTTTGTTCTGAGGACCCTCAGGTCGCTGAGACCCTTTCAGGAGCGTCCAACTTCGAGGTCCTTCCTTTTCAAACTACATACATGTGTGATGCCAGGTTTTCTTCGTAGTTCAACCTAAACAATTTTTGGCAACAGACTGAATGCAGAAGCACATGTAAGAATCCATCTTTCTACTAAGCCAGGCATTAAAAAGATTTGCAAAATTTTAAAGCAATGTTACTCTTCCTACTAAATATTTTTTGATTTTGAAAATTGGTTTCATAAAAAGTTTTTGTTAAAATGTGATGGTTTATTATTGTTCTTTTAAAATGAATTACTGAATATTTTTACATTTGAGTTTGGCAAATTTGTGCTATTTACTGTGATTTTAGGGTTTATAAGTTGGTTTCAGTTGACAATCCTGGTTTAAGTAACTCTAGTGCTTTACTGTGTATGAGGTATGCAAAGATTAAGGTCTTGCCATTCGAGGAGCTGTAGGAATGGAGGACTTGGAGACATAAAAAGCTAAAAGGAGTTTAAAGCACTGGTAAGTAGTGCCACAGTGACGCCCACTATACCATTTTTTTTGCTCCTTCTTTCTAAGAGGAAAGAATAATTTAGCATTGACTGGGACAAATGAAGAATTGAGTTAAAGCTACAGCAGCTGTCTGGTACTTTTCCACTATGAATACCAAAATCCCAATGTGAAACTTACTATCCCTAGCCAACTAAAAAGAACACCAAGGTATACTCTGATATCCAGAATCTGGGCCCACATAATGAGACAGTAGACAACATCCTTAACTGATATCATATCCCCAGTATTGCCTTCAGACCTTCCAATCTCCTCAAAAGAAGTCGTACTAGGGACAGCATTCATTAGGATTCTGGAGAGAGAAGAGGGTAGAGAACCTGCAGTCTCCCTACCTCCAAAACAGGGAAATTTGCTCTTGTCCTTGTGTTCCTCTGCTTTACTTTTGTATCGACTATGTTGAAAGCCACCCAGACATTACTATGTCTCCTCCTTTCCCTGTTGCCAAAGGCTCGCTGGTCTCCAAATATATGCAATAGCATAGGTTCCCAAGACAGCGGGCCACAGACATCACAGTCTGGAGACACTGGGTTCTTGCGACTGTATAAGGACTTGAGGTAGGGTGACAGTACAGTGGCAGGCAGCATCCCTAAAGCCTGATATATGCAAAAATAAAGCCTAACTGTTCAAGTTTCAGTATTTTCCAGAAGTCGCAAAACCTAATTTGTGCCAGTGGGGGAAAAAAAACAACAAACTTTTAGTTTTGTGCTTCTTTTACTGTTTGATATTTTTACTGTCTTATTCCTTTCTGTTCCAAATTATCTTTGTCAGGATCCTTTCTCATGCCTTAAATATCTCCAGGTTTTTAGATTCTTCTCTAAGAGAAACAGAAGGTGTATCTCTGACCTGACATGCCACCCGTCTCTCAGCCAGAAAACGGAAAGCACACTTACTGAGCGTGTTCATGAGCTGGTTGCTTCCTTGTGGCCGGCTGGTTCCATTGGCAATGGCTGGCCTGTTGTTGTATGGCTGCTGGTGTGAAGGCTGCGGAGGAGATGCAGGGCCATTGTCCTCACCTCCGCTGCTGGAGCTGTCATCATCGCTTCCCGAGGAGCTCTCAGAGTCTGAGGAGCTGCTACCACTGCTGCTGCTCATCTGTTCAATAATGTCAACTTCAGCCCTCAGCTCTGGAATAAAATTGCACGACAGGGGTCAGCACTGGAATAAAATTGCATGACAGGGGTCAGTACTGCAACCACCCTCAAGACAGACAGCACACTGAGCTTTTTATAAATAGTAAATTGGCAAAACCAGTAGCAATGAGGAATAACGTAAAACAAACTCCTGCTTCTCAATTCCTTAAAAATGTACAAACAAAATGACCAGACCAAACAAACAAAAACATCTAACTTGTCTCCAGAGAGACAATGGAAACATTAAATTCACCCCAAATAAGCAAAAAGCTGACTGTTTCAGGATAATGACTGTTCTGTAAAAGCAATGAATTAAGTCTATTTTGAATTAAGTCTATTTTGCCTTTATCTGGTAAGAAAAAAAAAAAAAGATGGTAAATTATGGAATTAAATACCAAATAAGAGAAGAGCAATATTATGCTAAGGAACTGAAAAATATTTGACTAGGAACTAGAAAGTCTGAGTGCTTGTTTTGGATATACCTCCTACCAGCAGTGAGACTAAAGTGGAAGTCAATGAATTTTCCAAGACACTGGAGAAAAATGAAGGGCCAGAGCAGACAGCCTCTGGGGTCCTTTCCAGTTTTTATGTCCCACAAATGGAAGCCTACGGGAGGAACCATGGTGACTGAAGAAAAATAGTTGAAAACATTCTTCCTCTGTCCTCTTTATGTATTTGACTAATAGCCATGCTTGTCAGGTATTGCGTTTTTACAGATGTAAAGCAGGGAAGGAAAAACCTGTTTTACCTAAGCATTTCAATGTCACTAAATATATTAAGGATACATCATAGATTTTCCTGTCCAAACACAACTTAAATGGCTATGGTTCCTATAACTGGCAACAGCTAACCATTCAGGGTCCAATTCCTATTCAACTAAAGTGAAAACTTCCATAAATGGCATTCCAATATCCCTGAGGAAAAAAATCAGGAGGCTTAACAGCTGTGTGCCATGCAGAGTGATTTCGTTTCCTGAAAAATAGCGTATGTATAAGGTGGGAAAGGCAAACTTTCTAAGGACAACTCTTTACCTTTCCCTATTTACTACTGTTATGGATTTAATTTTTTTTCATAAAACTTTACAGATATGAAATATAATACTTACCCTCATAACTTCCTGAAAGTCTGGACAACTAAAACCATCCACTGCATAAGGGAGAAAGCCAAGGTAAACTTCTTTATCTCAGATATGCATTGGAGAGAGGAGGTGGACCAGGCTACTAAGTCTTTCTAGACCAGTGTCCATGTCCACTGGTCCTCATGACACTTTCATATTTATAAACTTTGTGTTAGCACAAAGCACTCACTACTCATGGTATTTTAAATATCCCTCTAAACTAGATACTATACTAACACTGGCACACTTGGTTTCTACCCGCAGCACCTTGGAATTTTCTTCTTCCAAAGCCTTCAAGGTGTGCCATATGGACCTTTAGACGGTAGTCATGCTTGTTTAAATCCTGGGCTTCTAGGCAGAATGCGGCAAAGATAGCCACAACTGAAGTCACTGTGGCTGGACTCCCCTTTCAAATGAGGTAAGTGGTAAAAGACCTGACCCTCATCACTTCTGGAATGGTGAACTCTGCAAAAATTTTTTCAATGGCAGAGAATGCCCGTGTCATTATGCCAATACAGCAGCTTTGTGATGTTCACAAAAACATCTACAATATACTCTAAGTTGCGATCATGCCTCCAGGAATTGCTCTCTACCTCTTTTGATGTCATCCAGCTGAGGTTCAGGTGAAGGGTTATCTTTTAAGGGAGAAGTTTTGGGTCCAACTGGAGGCTTTGTTGGAGCTCTGAATGGCATAGGTGGTGGAGGTGGCGGTGGTGGTGGAGGTGGTGGTGGCTGTGATGGCTGTGGGGGACGAGTGGGCTGCTGTTCCATTCGAGCTTGGATTTTACTGCTCCCCTCAGCCCTGAAATAAGATATGGACATTGAATCAGAGGGACAAAACCAGTGCTTCTCAAACTTGTCCGTGTGACTGAGCACCTAGAAGTCTCTGCAGGTCCACCTGCTTTTAAGACTGCTGCAAAATATTGACATTTATAATTTTAACATTCGACAACTGTCTATTGTATTTCAGTACTGCACTATGCACCGGAGATACAGAAATGAATACAACAGACTTGCTGCCCTCAAGGAGCTCACATTTTATAGCAAGAATCAGATAAAACATATGTAGAATACGATGTGGTTATAAGAAGTCATTTTACTAAGAGAAAATATGACTATTTGACTTATACGGTGATAATCACAAGTATATGAGTTATTAAATAGCTGTTGAAATATTGTCTAGTTTGCAAATTTTCCCATTATTTACTGCTTGCTCATTTTGTCAGCTCTTGCTGGCAGACAAGCAAAGCATTCTATCCCAAACTGAGGAAATTCTATCCATTAAAAATTTCTTTTGTAAATGGACTAGGCCAGTACTTTTCAAACTTCAGTGTGCATATAAATCATCTGGGGATCTCATTAAAATACAGATTCCTACTTAGTAGGTCCTGAAATTCTCTACTTTAAACAAGCATCCATGTGCTAAATGCTGCTAGTCCCCAAATGACACTGAGTAGTACGAGAAATGCGAACAACCATCAGCTCCTGGAAGAGTAACAGCAACACCTGGTTCATGGAGGTAATTAATACAAATACACTGAGCAGCAGGAGAAGAACAGGGGCTCTACAACGCACTGGCACTGGACTAAGACAGGTCACAATGTCACTTATTCTCAGTCTCTTCATCTGTGTATTTGTGTTTTTAAGGATAACAATAGCATCTTTCTAAGAGTTAGTTAAAGATGAGATAATGCCATAAAGCGTCTAGCACAGCTCCTGGCATATGATAACCCCTCAATAAATGATAGCTTTTATTTTTATGTGAAACGAGTGAAGAAAGATGGCTTGAGGAAGCACAAACAGAAAAACATCAAGCTATTAACATTCTTTAAAATGTAATTGCTATATTACAATAATTGCTATATCACAATGTAACTACTGGGTTACTTCTATTTATAAAATGAATTTGACTTAAAAATAAAATCTAATTGGCTTCATATCAAACATGTAATGCCTACTGAATTAAATATTAAAGACAGTTCACTAGCTCAAAAAATAGGCAAAGCTTTATTTTAATGGTCTTCTAATGACTTCAAATAGATCTTATAAAAAATGTTTTTACTCTAATAAAGAATATACCATTCAATTATTCTTTCATAATTATAAATCTATAAATTTAAAATCTCTTGAGTAGGACTGTATCAAAATCAAGAGATTAACAAAATGAACTTAATTATAAAGCATGTCCTTTCGCCAATGGCTTCTATGTTTCGGGTCTTAAAGGTATTATTTCTTTCCATTACATTTGAGGAAAAGATATTTTACTTATTTGTCTAAGAAGACAAGTGAAGTTGTTTAGATTATCAATAGGATACTGAGTACCCAGGTGTTCATATCCTTATAAAATAATTCAACGGATAATACAAAGATACAGAAACACCTTCTCAATCTGTACCTGGTTATGGACATACCTTGTTTTCTTGACCTGAATGCTGCTACTGAGTTTTTCCAGCACATATTCACCAGTGTCATGATTAATAATAAGCACACAGTCTTTCTGATAAGGCCGTTTGTTCCCCTTGAATACAGTCATTGGTGGTGTGGATCCCTAAATGCCACAAAAAGTATAAGATGTTGAACACGCAGTGTAAATATATATATATATGTGTCTTACTGTTAAAATGTACAGCTGAAACTTATCGTTTTTTCGTTAACCAATGTCACCACTAAAAAAAAGGTATAGGATGAACAAAATCAACACACCAGTTATAAATATCAAAACTGAATTTACAAGTGACTCTACTTCATCAAATCTTTTCTCAGAGCGACTCAAAAAGCACAGAATAAACTGATTTCTATTTTAACTCCTGGCTTCCCAGGCAAACATAAAGGGGAAATAATAATATAGCAAGAATCTGTGACTGTGCTACTGGTTCTAAGTAATCAAGAAAGGTAATATAAATTTTTAAATTACTGTACATTTTCCTGAGGTTCGGGAAATGTTACAAATAATGGTAAAGTGTGAACTGAGAAAAACAAATTAACCATTACTTGTATTACACTGAGTAGAGTTTTCACTGTGAGAAGTAAAACTAGTGAGCCATCTCTAATATTTCCTTGTAATTGTAGAGTCCAGGGCTTCCCCCTCATGCCAAGTAACCAACAGAGCATCACGAAGGCAGTTCATTATTCTGGTTAGCTCAGAGTAAGTACATCATGTCACTCACCTGTCTAAGCCCTTTGATCACTAACCCATTGATCTGAAGTCAAGTAATTAAATCTTTAAACCAACTGTTCAGCCCTCAGCCTCACCCATACCACTAACCCCTGGGCTCTTCGTGCTCCAGAGCAAAAGGCAGCTGGCATTCTCTCAGATCCTCAATATCTTTTTTCTTGGGCTTTAACAAGGCTTCCACCTGTAATGCCAGTTGCTCCCCCTCTTTCAATTGTACTCAACCTTCAAATCTACTCACAGGTCACTTCCTTAAGGAAGCCTTCCCTGACTTTCTAATATAAGCACTGCTTTCTTATATTTAAACTCCATACCACAAACTCCACAAGGACAATGAACTTGTTTTATTCAAGACGGTATTCTCAGTGCCTAGTAATGGACCAGCACACAGGGGGTGCTCAATTAATATTTGCCAAATATAGGATTTAATCCCTGTATATTCAAAAACTGTTTGGCTCTTTGACTTATTCAGACAGTAAAAATTTAGAGTAGGAAGGGGCCTTAGGGACCATTTATCTGACTCCTTCACTTTACATTTGGGAAAGTAAGGTCCAAAGGGAGATGATGTAACCTGCCAAAGGCAGTAGGTAATGAAATAGCAGTTTGAACTGGCAGACAAGTAATTTTTCCAAAACATAAAGCTTCTAGGTCTCCCTGTCCAAAGTGTTTTCATTCTACCACTGGTTAGCAAAAACTTATTATGTTCCAGAACAGGACTGTGACATGCAATGACACATGTTCACCAAGCGTATTTTGTCTAATCCTTTGGACTCTGTAATCAGAGTCCTGCCTTGAGCAAGGCTTCACAAAAGCCTCTCTCTGCAAAGATTCTCAATTCAGCTTTTAACTGGGGTTCTCATCACTCAATTAGCTGAATGCTCTGAACCTCTGGTTCTTGCCTGAAACTATCAGCCTATACTTCACCCTTTGCCAGATATATGAAAGATGTAAATCCTGTTCCTGCCAGCCTTAACCCCTAGCTTGGCAGACCCCACGCACCTAAACTATTGTTGTTTTATATCAGCGTGGCACCTAGGGCTTTTCTCTGTGGAGCTGCTTGGGGAAAAGCTACACACGTTTAAAAGAGGGTCTAGGTGTTCGGATAGGATCTTTGCCTATTTTGTAGTAAACGGAGGAAAAAGAAGCTTGGGGAAAATGGCAAAGAATCATTTTTAATCAAGCACCTAAGAAGTATGAATTCAACTCCACCCTATATCCCAGATTCCTTTTTTCCTTATGTTGGCCCTTTAGAAAATTAGAAATTTTTAAACAGTAGGAAATTCAAATTGTAAAAACGTAAAATATAAGGATTCACAATGATTCTACATTTAAAAAAACAACAATGTAATAAACTTACAGGAATATGTGGCAGCGTAATTGTGACTTCATCTCCTTTGCCAACCTGAAGCTCTCCTTCACAGGAAGTATCTATAGATGCTGGCTTAAAATCATCTAAAGGGAAAGGGAAAAAAGCATTTATCTACCAGGTTACTTATCCTAAGGGCTTTCTGGGCATTCTCATTTAAGAATTAAAATTTATTACTCAGATAAATGGAAAATATAAATAATTTAGACTACTAAAAAAAATTATTTCATTGTGGAAAACTTCACATATACAAAAGCAGAGAGAACAGTACAATGAACTCCTGTGTACCATCATCACCCAGCTTCAATAATGACCAACTCAGGGACAATCTTGTTTCACTATACCTCCATATACTTTTCCTCCCACCCAAAATGGATTATTCTGAAGGAAAAAAAAGCTAGAATTTCTATACCATTTTATTAAACAAAGATATTACCTTCTCCCCAGTGATAGATGAAAATTAATGCTTATTATTTATAGTAGTGTTTTGTTAGGGTTGTTGTGAGGATGAAAAACAACAGTATATTAATAAGTATATAGTAGTATATTAATATTAATTCTGACTGTAAAACCTTACATGAAATATGAAAGGCTACAGCATCATATAAGCTGATTTCATTTTTGCATAGGAATTGTCAAAACTAGGATTTGCCATTCAAGTTCCATAGTTTTAACGAAACATTCCTGTAGATGTTTGGAGTAGACGGCTGAACTGTATCTCCAAAGGTTAATTCTGCCCAGGTTTTTGAATTACAGGGAAAGTACAACATGGATAGCCATCTTATTCCATTTTAACACACACCTGCCTCAAACTGCAGGCCAGGTGCATATGTGAAGTCTCATTTAAATTCTACATTGCCCTTCACTCTACTAAAATATCGATTTAGTAAACTGCTCAGGAAATGATGCTCATCACATTCCTAATATTCTTCTTCTGAAAGAGCTGATCTGCTGTCAGTAGGAAACACAGTAATGGCATGGCAAGTGATCATACAAGGATGGAACTTCATTTTCTAACACGCCCTCTTCCAATGTGTTGAGTCACATCTATTAGCTCCTTTGACAAAAACAAGTCTTAACCAGCATTACCACTACCAAGACAGGAAACCCAGAGCTCATGAATCACAGAGGGATGCTCAGTCAGCTAATTCCTGAAAGCCAATCTTTACCCAGAACATAGAGTGGAAGTGCCCTCCCTCAACAGAGTCTGTAATCATGTAGAAAAGGAAGGCCCAGCATAATGACTATTTCGACATTCTCTATGCCTGCTCTCTTCTGCTTCCAAACATAGATTAAGCTTTAACTTATTCCAGGTTCACGAATTCTAATTTTATTCTTCACCCACATGGGATTTGGCCCTCAGTTAAAGTCAGGGCAATAGAGGTGACTTCAAAAGACACCAAGTCAAAGGAGGTGCGGAAAGCTGGAGGAGAAAGACTCTGATGGGGCGCAAAGAAGATGCGCATTCTTCAGCTGCAAGAGGGCATGAAGCATAGTGACAGGGTGTTCAAAACAAAGACAGCCAAGGAAAGAAAGCTGAGGAAAACGGGGGAGAAGAGAATGGAATAGGAAGGAGTGGATGAGGCTCATGAGCAAACAGGGAGTCATTTAAACTTGGAGAACCCTGGTGGGGTAATCAAAAAGGGCGGGGGGTGGATAAGAGGGAGAACTGGAATCTGATGTGGGGTCACAGTCTTGAAATGGCAAAGGGGACAATGAACTTAGGAAAATGTGTTTGGCCAAAAGGCAGAATAACTGGGAGTGGCGATGGGTTTGGTATGGGACGAGCGAGCTGGGGCAGGCGGGGGATGGGGGAGGTAAATTGAGGTCTGGGTTAAGAGAGAAAATAGGTGACGTAGGCAAGGGGTTCCCTGTACTTTGGAAGACCCAGGGAAGAGAGAAGGGAGTCGAAGTTGGCACAAGAGGCAGCTGGAGCAGCCAAAGGGAACCGTGGGGAGCGCTGACTTACAGCGAATGGTGTGGAAGGATGCTCGCGGTCGCTTCTCGAAGCTTTCCCCGAGACGCAGGCAGTGTTCCTCGCGGTCCAGCAGCGGGTTCACGGTCCCGTTCATGGCCCCCCACGGGCCTCGCACCTGGGCCGGCGCTCTACTGAAGCAGCCGCGGCCCGAGCCTACGGCGCCGGCGTCCGGAAGTACGGTGCTCCGGGGACACCGCTCCGGAGTGTACCGGGAACCCAGCCGGCGCCCAACCGGGGCCGGAAGCAAGTCTTTACCTCCGCGTCGCGGTGGGGGAAGCCCCTGAAGCAAGGCCGCGGGACTTCCGGCGTCGGGGAGGGACTTCTGGGTTCGTAGCGGAAGTGGCGGGGGCGGTGCCATGGCAATAGAATTCCGCCGGGATTCTGAAGTTCTGGGTGCTGGTTTGTCCAGGCTCAGGGCTTTTCGCGGCGGCTCCCAAATTCTGCTTCCGGAGTCTGGACCTGCCTGAGGGCTGAATGCGCCCGACCCTACCTCTCCAGGTGAGTCTAGGAACTGATGACGGTGAGCCTAGAGCGCGGTGGACTAGATTAACGCGGGTATGATAGCCAGTATGGCCGGCTCTCTGCAGGCCCTGGCAGCCTGGACGCCCTAGTTTACCCCGAGTGTCCTGAGGCAGATGGACACTACGCCACGCATCGCTCTGTCTTTGTGCCGTGATGGCGGAGCGAGGGCCTCAGTTCCTGGAAAGCGACGCCCCCTCTGGTCGGGAGACAGCTTCTTGTGAGTGCAGTCAGAGACTCGGGTCATCTGGACATAGTTGTTTCATCTTCCCCTGAAAAAAACTGAGTCTCCAATCCTTGGGAAACGATGAGCCCACTTCTATCTGGCAGTTGACCACCTGCCTCCAGTTAGGGCAGCTGTTGTGGCTGTTGTTAAGTCACCCCTTTCACAGGCACCGAAAGTTAATGAGTATTTTCTCTCAAAGGTTTCTCATACAGTTATTGGGAATGTCCTTTTTCTAAACTAAACCGATTTATTATAGTAGATGACTTATTCTTGTTTGAATTAGACTTCGGCGCATGAGAGTCCTGGGCCACTTGAACGTAAGCCCCACGAAAGTAGGGACTTTGTCTTGGTCTTCTTTGTGACCTCTCCTCGTTTAGTGGGTGGGGTTTTGTGTAGAGTCAGCACTAGTAAATGCTTGGTGAATTTAACTTCTGTGAGAGAATTATTCTAGAACTACTAACTCAGCGTCTTAAAGAACTCTTCTAGAACCACTAATCAGAATCTCATTCTTTTTCCTTTGAAGCAGGAATTCTGCCTGAGGCTTGAACCCAACCTGAGGAACCACATCACATCTGCTTATATGTGCAGAATCAGCTTGGATTCCTCAAGTTATTCAGGGATGGAGAATCTTCAGCAATGTTAAATATACTACCATCAACTTATGAGATGGCATCTTTGCAAAGGAAAGGGCTGCAGGCACGGATTCTCAGCTCTGAAGAAGAGGAGAAACTGAAAAGAGACCAAGTTTTAGTGTCTGACTTTAAACAACAAAAACTGGAAAAAGAGGCTCAGAAGAACTGGGACCTTTTTTACAAAAGAAATAGTACTAATTTCTTCAAAGATAGACACTGGACCACTAGAGAGTTTGAGGAGCTCAGATCATGTAGGGAGGTAATGTTACACCTTATTCGAGCTGTTCGTCATTTAAAATGTTTAGAAGAGGAGTGCTTTATTGCTTTTTAATGGAAGTATGAGGTAGAGAATTTATGAAGCCTGCCAGAATGCTTTGTACCTTAGAGAGAAATAAACTGGTTTCAAGTAGTTTTAGCAGTCTTTGGGTTGTATAATACATAGGAGAGAGAACTTTAATGGACATGTCTGTTTCTGTAATCTGAAAGTTGTAAATATTAAATTTGTACTGAATAACTTAAGTGACAGATTCAGATTCACAGTAATGATGATGATGATGTACACTTTACCATGGCCCTTCCCTAGAACTTCATATGTATTCTATAATTTAAGCCTTCTAATAAGACTGTCAATTAGGCATTGATATTATCTCCACTTACTGATGAAATTGAGGTACAAAGCTGTTTGAGTGATTTGTCCAGTGACAGAACACAGGGGCAAGGAGAGGAATCTGGGTTGAGTGCAGGTGGTTTAGCCCCAGAGCCTGTTCTCTTAGCCATTATGCTGTGTTTTCTCCATAACAAATTGCTCAATGTTGCACAACAAATTGATATATCAATATTAGCTTTCAGTAATCAGTTTACTTTTTTAATGTTTGCTCGAGGTGGCAGAGGCCTTGTCTTTCATTTCTGGACCTTTTTGTTTGGTTTGTTTCTTCATTATGCCAATGTATTGTGTTGTAACTTTGAGTTCTCTTTCCTCAGTTTGAAAATCAAAAATTGACTATGCTTGAGGCTGGCTGTGGGGTTGGGAACTGTTTATTTCCGCTTTTAGAAGAAGATCTGAACATCTTTGCTTATGCTTGTGATTTTTCTCCAAGAGCAGTTGAATATGTCAAGGTTGGTGCACCATCCTCGTATTCTGTTACATTTGTTTTCTTAGACTTGTTTAACCTGCCCTCTATACCCATTTGGCCAATTCCAGTCCTCTCCCTGGAGCTAACCAGCTGTGATCACCATAAATGTAGTTTTCCTATTTACATACATGATATTAATACATATAGAAACACAACCGTATTCAGAAAAGTGGAAATAAATACCATAATGACACTCATTTACTTACACCCAAATTTAATGATTTACCAGCATTTTGCCTCATTCGTTTTATAGACTTTTTTCTTTGTTGAACTGTTTTAAAGTAAAATTACTGCTACATAAGCCTGCATACATCTTCGATAAGAATTTTCTCTACATGACCACAAAACATGTATATCTAACAAAAATAACTGTAATCTCCTAATGTCATTAATACCCAGTCTAGATTCATATTTCCCCATAGTGCTAGGTATCTTTTATAGCTGTAGTTAATCAAGGACTACATCTTATACTTTATTATATACCTTAAATCTCCTTACCCTAAAATATCCCTACCCTTCCTATTGACCTTTTTCCCCACTGACAATGAATTTTTGAAGAGCAACCATTTTCTGTAGTAAGGGAGGCCCTACTTTCCAAATTGTTCTGATTGTGTCATTGTTGAACTTATTCCTCTAGCCCCTATTTTTTCTTTAAACTAGCAGTTTGATTTAAATTGGGTAAATTATTTTTGGCAAAAATACTTTAGTACATGATGTTGTATCTTTCATATTATATCCTGTCAGGAGGCAATAAGGTCTGGTAATCTTACTATAAGTGACACTAACTTTAGTCACTCAGTTAAAGTACTAACTACTGAATTCTTCTGTTGTACAAGTATTTCCCTTTTGCCATGAACAAATATATGGGGGATACTTTGGCAACATGCAAATACCTAGTTTTCTATCAATTTTTCAGAGTTTTAGCATCCATTAGATTTTTTTTATCATTAGACTTTTTAATAGTGGTATCACATTGTACTATATATTGTTTTTGTCACACTATATCTTGCAGAGTTTTTCATTTCAGTAGATATAGATCTACCATATTTTATTTACCTATTGCAATATTCCATAGAATGGATATACCATACTTTAACAATTACCTTGTTGATATTTATTTAAATTGTTACTAATTTTCTGCTCTTATAAGTAGGGTTAATGTAATCAGCCTTATGCACATGTTCCCCAAAACACATGTACACATTTCTCTGTGATGAATAATGGAAGAAGTAGAATTCCTTGGAGAAAGCATATACACATTTAAATTTTAATAGATAATGCCGTTTCCTTTCAGAAAATTATACCAATTTACAATTTTACCAAGAATATAAAGATAAATTTTTCTTTGTGCCTCAACATTTGATGTCAGTCTTTTATATCTCCCAATCTTATGGGCAAAATATAATGTCTCCATATTTTAATTTGTTCATTCCTTATAATCAGTGAAGTTGAAGTCTTTATAATATGTAAATAAGCATTAATATTTTCCTCCTTGTGAGTTCATTTCACATGTATTTATTGAGAGCCTAATGTGTGCCAATCATTGTTCTAAGCACTGTGATTAAATAGTGAACAAAACACAAAAACCGCAACTCACATGGAGCTTATATTATGAATTGTCTGTTCCTAACCTTTCCCATTTTTTTGTCATTTTCTCTCATTTTTAGTATACATTCTGATTCTGTTATGTATGTTGCAAATGTTTCTTCTAGTTTATTCAACGTTGTTTTATGGTATTGTTCTATGACAGGATTTAAATTATTATGTCAAGTTTATTAACCTGTTACTTTTGAGGTGCTAAGGTTTTATGTTTTATTTAGGAGTTATAGAATCACCTGTACATTCTTTTTATAATTTTGGTTATGTTTTTTAATTTGGAACAACATTGGTCATTATTTCTTCAAATATTTCTTCAGCTCTGTTCTCTCTTCTCCAGTTATATGTATATTACGCCATTTGCTATTGTACTACAGCTCTTGGATGCTGTTTTGCTTTTTTTGTTTTTAAACTTCTTTTCTCTTTGCATTTTCAGTTGGTATAATTTCTCTTGTCCCATCATCAAGTTCACCGATTCTTTCTTAGGCAATAAGCATTCTCCTTGATGAGCCTATGAAAAACATTCTTCATTTCTGTATTAGTTTTTGGTTTTTAGCATTTCCATTTGATTTTTTTTGTAGTCTCTCTCTCTACTGAAATTACCTATCTGATCTTGTGTGTTGTCCACTTTTTTCTATAGAGCCTTTTACATATTAATTATAGTTATTTTAAATGCCCAAACTTTTAGTTCCAACATTTGTGTCATATTTGAGTCTGGTTGTGATGGTTGCTTTTTCTCTTCAGACTGAGTTTTTTCTTGTGTTTTGGTATGCCTTGTACTTTTTTGTTAAGAGCCAGATTTGTTGTATAGGGCAGTGGATACTGACATCATAAGGATTTGTAATCTAGACAGAAGTTGGGTTGTGTTTGAGGTCTGCTGTTACTGTAGTTACCTGTGAGGTTTGCTGTTGCTATGGGCACCACAGACTTTACACGCCTCTGGTGACAGTTTTTGTCTCTCCTCTTGGCTTCTCTCCATTTGTGCTGTTGCCCATAAAGAGTCTGCTCTTGTGGCTTTTCCAGCTGCAGTCCACTATTCTTATTACTGGAGACTTGTTGGTAGGGTATGGGAGAAGGGATTGTTCGCTAATGTTCTGATTCTCAGTTTTTGAACTGCATACCCGGCCTGTGTCTGCAGGATATGACCTTCTACTTCTCCAAGAATAGAGCTGTATGAGGTATCCACTACTGCCCTCCTCTTTGGTGTTGAGGCTTTTCTTCCTGCAGATTAAGACTAGATCTGGGCAGAGTCATTCCTTTCCCCCAGTGGCAGTGGTATTCCACCAGTTCCCTAAGGATGCCGGCCTCAAATGACCTGTCCCTAGCAGGTTAAACCTTTTCTGTAAAGGAGATAAGGAAGTCCAGCACCAGAAAGAACCCCGTCCTCTCCGTGAAAGCCTGGTGATGTTTCTGGTGAAACCCCTGCAAAAGGGTGAGAACGCCCCTGTGACTTCAGCCCCCAGGAGCTTCACAATATAACACCCACATTCCAGCAGTCTGTCAGATTTCTAGTGTTATCTTTCCACTCTGGAGGCTTTTGCTTCAGGTAAGCAAATGCTTGGGTCTTGTCTTTCCATGAAGGCACCTTTCTCTTTCCAGATTTTGGTTGTTCATTACTCTGTCCAGCTTTTTTCTTGTTTTAAGGATGGGAGATACATCTTTCCACTGGTGTACATCTCTGTGCTGAAACTAGAAGTCCTTTAATTCATTTGGGTAGCCAGTCTTTTAATACAAATGGAAAGCTAATTGTTTGAACACAATAAATTAAATGAAAATTTCATTTTCCCTCCCTGATAATTGTTACCTTTATTATATACATTCTTTTAATCTCATTGTCATCTTTGTCATCTGTCTTTTGTTGTATCCAATACTAAATTTTCTCTATATACATGGGTCTGTTTTGAAACTCTGTTCTGTTCCAGTGATTTGTTTGTCCCCATTCTCAAAGCACATTGTTTTAGTATTACATTTATAATGTTTTGATGTCCAGTAGTGTACCTTCTTCTTCATTGCTCTTCATTTTAAAGGTTGAGTTGGCTATTTCTAAAGATTTTTGCTTCCAGGTTAGTTAGACTTATCTTGTCAAGTTTCTAGATATTTATTAGAATTCAGTTGAGATTGTAAGAGCAATGATAGGTAGAATTGACATCCTTTCAATATTGAATCTTCCCATCCAACCACTTTGTATGTCTATCTCTTTATTTAGATCTTTATTTAAAGAAAAGTAATATTTTTCTTCAAAATACTCTTATATATGTGTTGAAACCCACCAACCAAAATGTACCAGGAACACACTTGTAGTAAAAAAAAAAAAAAAAAAGTTAGGCTTATTTGCCTTTATGCATCAAGGGAAAATATAACCGGAACTGTGGGAGCATCCCAGTAAGGGGAGCCGGAAAGACTTCTCGTAGGATTTAGTTTTGTAATGGATGATTCAAAGGAGGATTAAGGAAGCAGAGGCCAGTGTGGATTATCATGTCCCTGGAAATACATGCTTCTGAAATACTCAGTTTTGAGTAAGTAATAGACTGTTCTCTCTTTAGTTAATAATAAGTTGTTAAAATGAAATCTTGTCCTCTCATAGCAACATTGAATATTACATGCTTTAGTATGTAAATGGTTCATTATTCAGTTTTACCCAGTAACAAAATCATTGATTTCTGTGCAGTAGTACAAGTGGAAACAGGATCTCCTTTTGAGGCTCTATATTTCTATATGTATCAACATGAATGTCGTATTAAAATTCTTTGTGTTTTTTTCCCTTTCTAGCAAAATCCTTTATATGACACAGAAAGATGCAAGGTATTCCAGTGTGATCTAACTAAAGATGACCTTCTGGAACATGTGCCCCCAGAGTCTGTGGATGTCGTCATGTTGATATTTGTGCTCTCTGCTGTTCACCCTGATAAGATGCAGCTTGTCTTACAAAACATTTATAAGGTTAGTGATTTGGAGCCTGCACTTGAGGGTTGGACATCTTGGTCTTGTTTACCTTCCCTCTGAGGCCCATGTACCATCTAAGTTCAGAGTCCCCATTCTCACTATGAAGGATGTATTGTCAGTGTATGGAAAGGGATGCTCCTGCATAAAACATCCACCCTAAGCTTTGGTTTGTCTGGTGGCCATTGCTCCTCTTCAGGCCAGCCTTGGAGCAAGGATGATTTTTCAGTTAACCTGGGATCTGTGGAGTCCTGCCATAAAGTAGAAGGAAGTGTGATTCAGTGGTCAAGAGCATACAGTCTGAGTGCCTAGAGTCAAAATCTGGCTTCTCTATTTAGGCAAGTTCCATATCCTCTCTGAGCCTAAGTTTCATTACCTCAATGTTGAGATAATAGTTCCTAGATCTTAGGATTTAGGGTAGATTATATGAGATATGAATAAAGCACTTAACATAATGCCTAGAACGTGGTAAGTGCTCTTTCAGTCAGCCATTGTTGTTACTGCCATCGTTCGCTCTTAGAATGGGAAGAACCCAAACTGCTGTGGCCACCAGGAGGCTGCTGTAGCACTGGGGAAGTAAAGCTTCACTTGTGAGTGATGTGACTTGAGATAAGCCACCTCATCTTCCTTCCCTGGGCCTCAATTTCCTTGTCTGTAAAATGGAGGTATGTCTCACTGACAGAGTTATTGTGCGATGCAGGTAAGATCATATATGAAGATGCTTTGTAAACTACAGTAACAGCTCTCTTATCTATACAATTGGTATCAGTATTGATTAATTTAAAAATCAGCTAAGTCAAGAAATCATAAAAAATGGTAAATTCTTACCTGAGACATTTTTATTATAACTTAAGATATATTAGTATTCATTTATCACTTTTGATATAAAGCCAAGGCCTTTTCTTTGAGTTTAGAGCCATTTATCTTCCCGACATGAACCACACATATGAAAGAGTTTTTGTTTCTTTAAAAGTGGAACAAGAACTTAAAAACAAGTGGAAAGTAATGTGAGGGCAGATTCTTTTATATTTTTACCCTGACTTCCACAGTTGATTCTTCCATACCTAATTAAATAGTTTGTTAATTTCTTCTTTATCAAATCTTTCCAAAGTATTCAACCTACTTTTCATAGAAAATAAAAATGGCTTCTGTTCACGTTCATATTGCATTGTTTATATACTCGTGTATAATTATAAATCTAAGTACAACTGGCACAAGCAAGTTTGGGAACACACGTAAGTGACTAGTGGTAAGCATGCAGCTTACTTGGGGGGCACTAAAGTGCAAGCGTGCGTCTAGAAAGCCTGTAAGCCTCATCTGTTCAGTCAGTCGTGGGCTCCCTCCTTTACAAAGGAAGTGGAGGGCATTCAGCAAGTTGAAAAGTAAATGTTAGGAAAGGGAGCTTCTATGTATTTAGAGCTCTACTTTAAAATTTAACCCCAATTTTAATTGTTTTAATAGAGTAATAAGGTAGAAATTTCAAGACACTGGCAACTTGTTAGGGATAATAATTCTCGCTTAAAACAATATTATTATTAAATTCAGATGTTGCCATATTGGTTTTAGCCCTCCTCATGTAAGGTTTTTTTCTAACCCTTTTCCCTGCCCCTGGTATGTGAGCAGATGAGAACCCAGCCTTTACCAATAAATAATCATGGAACTTAAGCTGCTAAAGAGGGAAGAAAAGGCATCAGGGAAGAGACAGTAGGATCACCTGAATTAAAGGTCCGGTTGACGGTAAAGGATTAATAAAGATGGTGAACTGGACAGCTGAAAAGATAGTAGGGGTGATCATGGAGTGAACTGTATGACAGGGTATAGAGGATTATACTTTTTAGTTTTGACAAGGTTTAAGTAGAATAGAGGACAAGATCTTTGGAAGAGAAGCTCAAGTCATTAAGAAACCAGCATATTTGGAAGGATAATCCACAAGTATATTGAAATTGACCAGAATTAAGAATGGAGCAGTGTTAAGAATAAGAAAAACCAGAAGATACGTTCATAACGAAATGAAGGGAAGTGGCCATGGAACTAAAAGACAACAGTAACAAAAAGGGATAGTGGGTGATATAATCTGATGACTGGAGATTCAGATCTGGGGCATTTAGGGAGGAGAAAGGAGAATGCACAGAAAGTAGCAATGAGGAGCAAGGAGGACACCAGCTCGGTCTTCAAGCCGGGTGGTACAAGGGTAATGGGAGAAAACACAGCCATGACTTGAGCTCCTGCAAGGAAAACATTATCATCAGGGGACAGTCAGGTTTCTGTGAGCACAGGAATGAAGGGAACATTAAGAAGAGGTTGTGGATACTTGTAATTTCCACTTACGAAGTGTTTCAGGTTTTAGAGAGGAGTAGAAATTAGGATAGAATAAGGAATATCAAGAACTTTATGGAGATGTGGGCGCCCACTACCAATACTTGTATTCAGCATTGTACTGGAGGTCCTAGTCAGCTCAAAATGACAAGAAGAGAAAAGGTTTAAGGATGAGAAATAAACAAAACTCATTATTTGCAGATAATATAATTGTCTACTTAGAAAATATTAAAAGAATTATAAAAGCTGTTGTAGATCTAATTACTCCAAGACGTTAATACCAAAGAAATTTTAAAACTACATAATTTTAAACTGAAAGACAACCTTAAAGTTGAATTCCCTCATTTTTGGAATAAAATGATGAAGTAAAAATGGACCAAATTTGTCATTGGAAGATCTGGATTTGGTCTACCTTGTGCCGTTGACTTGCCTTGAAACCTCAGGCAAGTAACTTTTACTCTTAGCCTTACTTACTTTAAAGTGGGCATAATAGACTTGGTCTACCCAATTCTTGGAGTAGTTGGGAGAATGAAAGAACCTAACATTGAAAAATGCCAGGTTAACTATACAATGCCATGATCAAAAGAGGCATTAGTATCATTATTATTTTACAGACGAGAAAACATATACAGAGGGATGGAATTACTTGCTCAAGGTCATTCAACTAGTTAATGGAAGAACTGGGATATGAATCAAGATTCCCAAAATTGATTGGAAACTGAGTGAGTGTTCTTTCCACTGTCCCATGTAGTATTTCCTTCCTTCTGAAATGGAAGAATAAGTCTTTCTCATATGAGTTAATTTTTTCAAAATTTTCCCTTCTCAATTATTCAGATTTTAAAACTTAGCATTTCTAACCAAGGTAAGAATGTTTTTATAGAAGAAGCTCTTTACTGACAATATTTAAAATGCATGCTAGTATTGATAAAAATTATTAAATGAGAAAATCTGCTAGCACACTTGCAAATATTATGGACAGTCTTTCATATTCTGTTCAGAAAGAGGAAATACATGAAACTACATTAAAAAATCTATTATAATAACATATGTCATATGTTTTAAAAATCATCTTGTTGATGCGATGGGTCAGAATAAGATTTAATAAAATTAGAGCCCCCTTTAAAGTCCACTCTTATTTGGTAGTGTTACCGCAGTTTGAAAGAGTTTTCACATAAAAAGCAAGTGTCTCGATCAAATATATGGTAGCTGAAGGAAACTGGACTTTGGGTGGTAAACACACAATAGAATATACAAATGTCAGATTACAATCTACACCTGAAAATTATATAATTGTACTAAGCAGTGTTACCCCAATAAACTTAATAAAAGTAGATACATACATACATACATACATACATACATACATACATACATACATAAACAAGTGTCCCACGGCATCTCACTTTTCATTCTGGAAAGCATATGCAATATGCTTTGTAAAATAGAGGAAGTAACACCCACACCCTGCTGATGTTTTCGGTTTTTGAGACATCTACCCTGTGATACATGTATCTGGAAGGCTTTAGTGTGGGACTCCTGTCTGGGCCTCACACTGATCCCTTTCCCTAAACAGCTGTACTGGCCTGAAGATCCACTCCTCCTCACATCAAGAAGTGCAGCACAGTTTGAAGTTACTCTGCCCCGCGTAGCCTCTTTTCTTGTTGGTAGTGTGAATGGCATTGAAATGATACCCCACACATACACCTGCCAGGGCAAACAAATGTTTCTGATTTTATTATATGATGCTTTTTGACCCAAATGTGAGTCCTGTCTCCCCCACTAACTAGCTGATATGTGATCATAGGCAAATCACCTCTTCTGTCATCAGTTTCCTTATCTCACATGAGGACAGTAAACACATTCCTTCCTCCTAGAATTGGATGAAGATCCAATGAGATCACGTGTGGTAAGCTGTACAGTGCTAGGCATATGTCAGTTAGCCTGATGGGCAAGCTATACATAATTGTAGCACAGTGAAACCAGTACTGAGACTCAGAATGAGGAAAGCTAGCCGGAATCAGGAAAAAGCCAAAATGACATATTTTTAAAGAGGCAGTTTGATTATAAGGTCATGTGCTAGGAGATGACTAATAAATGCTTTAATGAGGATAAGACTGTTTTGTTTAATGTCATTAACATTTTAATTGTATGACACTGGACCTTCCACTGTGTTCCTATAAGTGCTCAAGAAGTTTCCCTCTACTGTCTGACTATACCTTTGATTAGCAGGCCCTTTTTCCTTCATATTAGCGGTATTTCATTCTGGCCCCCTTTTATAATTATCATAAGTGTAAGTTAATATAATCCCTAAGTCAGATTTTTATTTTATGGTAAGCTTTACTTGACTGGGTTCCCCAGAGTTATATGCAGCCTGTTTTTGCTTTTCAGGTATTAAAACCAGGCAAAAATGTCTTATTTCGTGACTATGGGCTATATGATCATGCCATGCTTAGGTTTAAAGCCGGCAGCAAACTTGGAGAAAACTTTTATGTTAGACAAGATGGAACCAGATCATATTTTTTTACTGATGGTAAGATTAAAGGAATCTGTCTTTATTTCTTATCTGTTTTATCACTGTAATACTGGGGGAAGCCGGGGGTGGCAGTACTTAGCACACGAGCACGAGACCCTGGAATAAGCTTTCTGACATATGCCATTTACCTAGCACCTGGGATGACATAGACACAGCCCCTGGCCGTGGTAAGCTCACAAACCTCTTTTGGTGACGATGTCTAATTAGCCTGGGTTAATAGACAGGCTCAGACACACTAGGTGAATGCTGTACCAGGAACTGTGCTGGAAAAGGGGGAGGGCAACTCAGAATCTTCACTTTGTTCAGTCAAAAATAAAGCAAATAAGACAGTGTAAAGCCCTGAGATTACTTTCTCAGGCCACAAAGGCAAGAAACATTTTTCTATAAAAGTGATTGGATCTGTTTTTAAATGTATAAATTTGCTAGAGGGGGTTCCTTAAAAAGTAATTTTTGATAAAAACATCCAAGTGCCGTACATTATGTCAATGTTTTAGGTATTTTGAACATTAGTTTTAAGTCTACTTAATTATATGGACCATAAAATAATTACTTCTTAAGCTTTTTTCTTAGAAACTTTTGTATTTCTTGAAATACTGTTTTGATTCCAAAATGAAATGAAAAATGATTGATTACCATTAACATTGTAAAATAAAAATGTCAGGTAAAAATTTTAAATTTGTTTTCATGTTTCTGATTCATGAAATTTGATTAAACCAGTTGTAAATAATTGAGAAGATGCAATAATAGCTGCAAAGTGCTTCAGAGCACAATCTTTGGAATAAGCTCTTAATCAGAGTCTTTATTTTTGCTACATAGCTATTTATTCCATTTGTTTCACTTAACGTTTAGTGATATATTATTTGGGTTAAATTTTCCTTAGGGCATATCATCATTAGGTGATTTCCTCTCCCCCATACCTCCCCCCC